ATGAATTCGATATCTTCATTCTGTTGATGATGAGAATAAATCGTATGGATTCAAATCTCATCTGAGTGATCGGATCGTTGAATCAACCTTAACAACTCCTGTGTTGAAGAAACGCATGAATTCGATATCTTCATTCTGTTGATGATGAGAATAAATCGTATGGATTCAAATCTCATCTGAGTGATCGGATCGTTGAATCAACCTTAACAACTCCTGTGTTGAAGAAACTCTGCTCGTTGTCACCGGTGGACAGAGCTCCTCGCTAAAGAGAGGAAGCCAATGGGTGGCCCATTGATGGCGGTATGGGCGCCACCGCCATGGGTTCCAGCTGTAATTTATGTCTTTTACGCGGCGCCTACGCTTTGGTAGGTTCAGCTTGAGGTAAACTAAACAACAGATGACGAGTCAGTGTGCATTCATAACTTCGCTGGAGTCGCTCGCTCAGATTCGCGTTTCGTGCATCTTGAATCTGGGCTTCGACTTTTCCTCATCTTAGCGACGTGTGGCACGTCCAGGCCGCGTTGCCATTTACTCATGCTGGCACACTTCAATGCCTGAACAGGAGAGCCGGCTGGTGCTACTGGCTTGTCTATTAAGCAGCTTTGGTTGCTGTGGGCACAGTTCGAGATGATGTCGTGGGTGGAACAGCTCTGCACTTGCTTAAAAATTAAAATTCCCGTTTCAAAAAAACCCTTCGTATCAAATCCTGTCCGTTTTGTTGCCATTACTTCCAGATCCACTCCCCGCTCCGTCCGCCCGCTGTCTGCACCGACGGCAGCCCAATATGCATTGCAAAAGCATCGTACGCGTATTGCAGTCATGCATTACAAATTTTTTTCTTGACGTATTACAAATTTTATTTTTCATGCTGAGGGAATTTGTAATGCACTTATACGAGTAGGAGTACGATACCTTTGCACAGGATACACAGCACGTCCACACAAATCCGGTTCCGCAACTTGCCCCGCATCGTGGTAGACAAGTCCTCCTTGGTAGCTTGCCGGCGGAAGGTACTTTCCAGACTTGTGGAGCTGCTGCTGCACTGGCGCTCGAACTTGATCATGGAAGGCAATTTAGCGGAAAAATCCTCATCCGTAGGAAGCCGGGTGAGTCCCGGGCCGTGATCTCGTCCCCCGGGAACGATACCCCCGAACGCGGGAGCACGGGCTTCGGGCATTGTTTTTGTTTCTGTCTCTTACTATGATTTTTGTATGGTAGTACGGCCTGCGGGGCTGATGCTACTTTTAGTTTGTTTGTTTCTGTACCTACGGGGTATGAACCTTGGAGCCAGCGCTACATACTAGGGGCGCTCATCTGCTGTGGTTTTAATCATCTTTAAGATGATTACTTAAAACTGCATTAAGAAACAGCTCTAACCCTCACACGCGTTTCTCCTTCGTCTCCCTCTCGCATCGCAAACGCATTTAGATGGCCACAGGGCAGGTCTCCTCAAAACTACAGGCGCGTCGACTTCTCTCGGAACTGAACAAGAAACGCAGAGCCAGAGCTACGACGGCCGAATAGACGCAGCTGCGTGCCCGATCGTTGCTATTAGCGGCAACAACGATCGCAAACGCGCGCGGCCTCATGATTGGCACTGCGTTCATTCCCGAACGAATTCAGTGTCATTCATCGCATGCAGGTTTGAAAACAGGTAAAATAAACCATAGCCATGCGCCTGGGCGCGGCGGCCGGGCAGAGGGCGATGGCCACATGAACTCTATGTCGATACCACGGGCCCGCGCACCACATAAGTCGCCCCGATCGAAAGTGTTTGCTACGGCCCGAATCCGGCCAAAAGCGCCGCGCTCCTGGCCTTGCTTGCCTTGCCGAGGAGAACGAGGCCCAATCCTTCTCCCCGCCGCCAATCAAATCAGCCGGGTCGGTCGGGCGGCCACGCCGGCAAAAGTAAACCGCCCCGCGCCCGCGCGGGCGCGCGGGGACGGAGGCCAGCAAACATACATCGGTTGCCAGCGCCGCGGCGTGCCACCCCGGCCCCGAAATCGGGCCAGGCGGGGCCAGGGAGCAAATAAGATATAAAGAAGGGGCGCCGAGCCGGAGGCCGCGCCCCTGTGTAGCTGGCTTGGGGGGCAGTTCCGCGCTCTGGTGGGGGTTGTAGTTTGCTTGCGGCAAGGGCAGCATGTCTTGCAATCGGCTTCATTGGGGCGCGCCCGCTTCAAGTCCACCGCTTTGCCGAGGTCCGCCGCCACCCTGCCTTCCCAGGTCGGCCCCGCTTGCGGGCGTCGCCCCCCCGCCCCCGCGGGTCCATATGGCTGCCCCTCAACCGGGCCCAGAAACCCGACAACACACACCAACACCGCGCGCGCCCCCAGACCATTCCGCCCGCCCACGCGCAGAGCCCCCGAGCGATCTCGCGCGCGGGCGCCCGTCCCTGCCTCCGTCCGCGGGGCGCGCGGGCGGCGGCGTGCCCGCCGGCCGCCGGCGCTCGCTCGCTGCCTGGGTGCTTGGCGGCAAATCACCGCGCGGGTTGTTGCTTGTGTTGGGGCAGGGGCGCAAATCAACGGGCGGGGCTCTTGTTAACGTTACGCGCCCCTTCTTCCCCGGCAAAACACAAGCGGGGCGGAGGTTGGCGCTCATTTTCGTCTTTTCCGTGACATCACTACCGGGCACCCCGACGGCGTCGCGCCGGTGATCTTCCTGGACGCCGGCGGGTCGTTCGGATGATGCTCCGCCATGGGCAGGCCCGCCCTGCCCCGCCAATACCCCGGCCGCGTCCTCTCTCTTCCGTCCCTTCGCACAACACCGGCGGCCGCTTTTTTTATAGAAGTTCTATTCAAGCGTAGCCAAAAGCACTCCGCTCGCAAAGCTCTCCTCCGATCACAAAAAGTTGCAAGCTCGGCTATAAACGTTGTCCACAACAAGCACCGTGGCCTGTTTCGTTCGCCACGAACACTTCCTCCACCACCAAGAGGACAAAAACCGGAAAAAAACAACCAAAACCAGATGATGAACGGCAAGCTCACTTTCTACCGCAGAGCTCTGTGCACGACGACAACAAAGCTGCCCGCTCTAGAAGATTTTTTAGGTTTCAGTTTCTGGGTTGTGATTGTCAGAAAGGTTTTGTACTATGTGTGACATCAACCACAAAAGTGGACCCGGGCTGTGCCATTGGAGGTCGTTCATCTGTCGCTTCAAAAAGTCGTTTCAAATTCAAATGCTGTACAAGACTCAGATCCCCTCAAAGGAGCCCACATCAGGACTTCTCGTAGGATCTTTGTATGTCCTAGTCCTAGTCCTTTGTTTTACTAAAGTCATCAACTACAACAAGTTTTACAGTGAAACTCGAAGGAGTGAACGTCCCATCACAGGCTTGGACAGCATTCACAGGTATTGGTATTCTAGCACCACAAATTTGATCACCGCCGCTGTACAATGAATAAACCCATCTTCCTCACCCTCCCCGTTCCTTCATTTCCTGTTGCGCCTGCTGCATGGCTTTCGCCGCGGCCTGGTTCGGTGGCAACGCGTTTTCCCCCGTGGAATATCCCGAGTAAAAACATCCCCACCCCATAGTCAAGTTGTCAAATGATCTGCAACACAAATCCCCAAGTTTTGGCTGTCGAGCATGACAAGTTTGGGTTCGTAGTGTAAAATCCTGTGGTAGCTAGTGCAGCCGCATGACAAATTGCCTACCTCATCCTGATTCCAGCACGACAAACTACCAGATAGCATTAGAAAGTGGCTGTCATGGGGCTCCGCATGAGAAACATTTTCAGCATGCAGATTTGCATTACAACCATGGGGTGGGGAAGTCGAAGTTTCTACATAGGATATGGAAAACTCGTTGAACAGCTGCTTTATCCTCGTTTGCAGCTGCACTTTCGGATCCACGGACATCTTCATGGCCTCTTCAAGTAACATATCCTGAGACAAAAACAGATTATACCCATCCATTTTTTGCATGACAAACACTAGACTTGCTGTACGATTGGCATGACAAATTGGATGGGGATGGGTCTTTGTTTCTTGTGGATACAACAGCGCCTCCTCGTCCATGCTGTCTTTATTTGATGCTTTTGCTATCGAACCGGCGATATCCTGTGCAAAAGTATCGTGCTCGTATTGCGATCATGCATTACAAATTTTTTTCTGAAAGCAAATCCGCATTACAAAGTTCATTTCTCATGCTGAGGAAATCTGTAAATGCATTTATACGAATACGATACTTTTGCAATTCATAGGCGGCTCCCGTTTGCGAAGGCGCAGACACGGAAGGTTGTATGTTTCCTCCCGCACCAGCACTACTGTTCGTAGTTGAAGAAGCTCCCGCCCCGGAAGAAGTTAGAGTAGTAGGTGCACCACCGCCACCTGGAGCTCCTCCGTGTTCACCACCTTCCATCGCGGCTAGCTTTTCTTGCTGCGATTTCGACCGGACCAAGTGTCCGTTGAAAAACCCCTCCGGTTCGGCCTGCTTCAACAAATTTTCCTCTGGCGGTAAGCTTTTGTCGGTTTTCTTCCCGCCGGAGAATGCGGTTAAGTCCGTGAGAATGTGAAAATCTTCCAGCATTGTCTGCATCGCTATGGCCATCTCCGGGTCGACGTACTGCATCCCGAGACTGTACCATCGTGAGAAAAAAGCGCTTCACTGTATAGGATTTTCAATCGCTAAAACAAGTTTGTTTGCATATACAAGTTGTTTACACACGACATCAAAGAGAAAGAAAATTTGCCATGCGCGCTACTTCCTGTAAGGAAACAACGTTGAAACAAGAAACCCCAATCTCTTGCATGTGTAGCAAGACAAACACAAATGCAATCTATGCATCACAAGTTTAAAATAAATACAGTGGAACTACAGTTTTTTCTATCAATATGTAGTCGATCACATCTGCTCTGGAAGACTGCGTTCCCACGTTGATGATCAGCTTCTGCTATCCTTTGCAGAAGTATCGTACTCGTATAAATGCATTACAAATTTCCTCAACAGCATGAGTAGAAATAAAATTTGTAATGCTGATTTACCTTAGGGAAAAGATTTGTATATGCATGATTGCAATACGAGTACGACACTTTTGCCCAGGATATTTGCTTCGGCGGGATCACGTCAAAAGTCACTGCAGAGACCCGGGATCCGCACATTCAGTATGCATTGCGCATATGTCCTCTGAGTCTGGAAGGATGGAACTTGTCATGCTAAATTACTATCTATTATATTCATGCGAAAAAAGAGGTCTACAGAGGGTCGAAGGGAGGTGGCCGAGAGGTCAAAAAGAGGTCGACAGAGGTCAAAAAGAGGTCGACAGAGGTGGAGAGGTGGTGCAGGAGGTCAATCGAGAGGGTGGCCGAGAGGTGGCGCGGGTATAGCCCGCCGAAGGGCTCGCCCTAAAGCCGCGCCTATGGGGGACGGAGGTGGCCGAGAGGGTCCCGAGAGGGTAAGCGAGAGGTGGACAGAGGTGCCGAGAGGTTGCGCGAATAAGGGCGAACCTCTCGCGCACCCTCCTGGCCACCTCTCGGCCACCTCTGTAGACCTCTATCTGTGAGTATAGCCGAACTATTAGCAACACCTCTCGGGAGAGGTCAAAAAGAGGGTCTGCGAGAGGGTCAGAACAACCCGAATCCCCCCGGCACGCGGTCGATTTTCTTTGGGCCTTTTCATGGCGTTGACCCGCACCCTTTCGCGCTACCCTCCCGCTCTACCCTCTCGCGCTACCCTCTCGCGCCACCCTCTCGCGCCAGCCTCTCGCGCGACCCTCTCGCGCTACCCTCTGGCGCCAGCGATTTCCGCCGGGAAGCAAATTAAAAGGGGGCGGGTGGGTGATCAAAAAAAGGCAGCGCGGCTTCCGTTCTGCTTCCTTCGGCATCTATGTCGAGCCGGCTTCGTTTCGCCCCCAAGCTTCGCTGCAGCTGCTCCCTGCGCATAGCGCCTGAAGGCGCGGGAAGCGCGCAGTAGGCCCAGCGGGTTGAGATGGCGCAAACCGGCGCCAGTATTTCCTTCGACCTACCTTGACGCCGTGCGCAAACAAAGCTGTGGCGCTGTAGCCCGATCCGCAAATAGTCCTGCCCCACCACAACAGCCACTCGCCCCGGCGTCAGCCGGGGCATGGCTGGTCAGAATCATGCAAAATTCTGTGTTGCATGATTACCGAAAGCTGTGGTCCACTTTCGACCAAGTTGCGAGGGAGTTTCTCATGCAGAGCTGGCATGATGGAGACCTCACAGGATCTGTCATGCTAGGTTCTGCATTCCAGATCACATGGGTCATGCAAAATGTGCACGACAAGTCTTGCAATCTTCCAGAGGACCCAGAGGACATATTTGCAGTTGATATTCCGAGAGATTCCGTCATGTCGTACTGGACGCCGCAGGCTTTGTCGTCACTGTTATTTTCCATCGCCATGATGTATCCCGCGTCGCCGTCGCGGATAAAAATCGTTTGAAAATCCTTGTACTGCATCTGCGTCATCTGACACGTCAAAGCGGTTTTCTTCGCGTTGGATTCCCCGATCCCGCCCGAATTGTCGTCCTCCAGAATTGCCCAAATCGCCTGGTTGATCAGCTCCCAACTGGATTTCTGCTTCCGCAGCTTTGGCCCGGAAATCTTGTGGTAGCATATCAAATGCAAATATGTCTGAGTCTGGGAGACTGCAAGGTTTGTGATGCACGGATAGCATGGCTCTCAACTCTGTCATGCACGCCGCCCAAAACCTGCCACATTTCTCTGTCATGCAGAAACGCAGTTTGTCATGCAGAGACGCATCACTATTTATAGCAACTCCGAAACTTGTCATGCTTGGCTGTCAATGAAGGCGCCCACATGATTCGCCAAACAGCATAACAAGTTTCCAGACCCAGACATATTTGCATTTGATATTGCAGTGGATCACGACATTCCCCTGTCTTGGGAACGCGTTTTCTTCCCTCAATAACGAAAAAGACAGCGGCACGACGAGGTAGGTGTAACCGCCCTCCAGTGTCGTGTAGATGGAGGTCTGGTCCTGTCTCGTCCGTTTCGCCCGCTGGACGAACTGCAGGATCTCATGAAAACTGCCGTCCGCCTTGGTATCCTTCATTTTCCGGAACACTACAAACCCGATGTCCTGATTGGTCGATTTCGCGTTGATGCTCGCCTCCCGTTTCACGTGTCGCTCCTGCCAGATCGACAAGTCGATTTCTGTTGTTTGGTACAAATCAAACTCGATAACCTCGCCCGGATCACCATTCTGAGCAAAAACGTTCCCAGCCCAAGGCTGTCATGCAGACTTGCAATTACAGGAGTCAATTTGCAATGCGCATCCCCATCATGATGAGAGGCATTTGTTCCAGTCGTGTTTTGGCAACGTTTGTAATGCTGTAAACATGATAGGAAGACGGCTTTGCGATGCGGCTGCGCTTGTTAAATTGCACTACAATGCGGAGAGGAACTTGTCATGCGCGACTACCAAAACTTCTGGATTTGTGTTGCTAAGTTCGCAATCATTGACTCTTTCTAGGGTCGTGAGGACGCTTTTGCTCAGAATAACCGCCCGCGCTGGAAGTGAGCCAAACCCGCTCATCCGTTCGTAGCCAGTAGCTCGGGTGGACGCGACAGACTTCCACCTGTCCGATATGAACTGCAAAAGTATCGTACTCGTATAATTGCATTACAAATCTCCTCAGCACGAGAAATAAAATCTGTAATGCTGATTTCTCTTCAGAACATGAACAAGATTTGTAATGCATGATTGCAATACGAGGACGATACTATTGCACAGGATATCCGAAGTATTTCCGCAAGTCTTCGAATTTCATCCAGAAAATGCTCATGTCGTCATGCATCTTCACGTTCGAGGTGTTCACAATCCCGAGCTCGAATTTCAGTTGGAACTATTGTGAGGAAAAATCTCCCCGCCCCATACCGAAAAGGAAATTTGTGATGCTGACTTGTGACCACAAATCAGCTTTGTCTTGTGTACAAGGCAAATGGCGCCTCCCATGTGGCGCATTGTCGTGCAGCCAGTCTGTCATGCGCTTTCGCGTATGGCAGATTCGTTTCTCATGCGCAGCTGCTAGCCGGATGCGTAGTACCCAAATAGGCTTAGAATATCCGTATTCCGGCAACAAGCTCTTGCTGCAATACAAGGTTCATTTGTGTACACAAATCCAGCAACGCAAATTGTCTTTTGAAAATGGGGTAAGGGGTTATTTCACTTTGATAGAAACGGCTGTTTGTCCATCCACTCGCTACCGAAATCTCCCTTCCAGGTATCAAAAGGAAAAATCCCCCCTGCCCATATCGAAAAGCAGATCTGTGATGCTGGACTTGTGTACACAAATCAGATTTGTCTTGGAGTGGAGGACTGCAGGCCCATACCATGCCAATGTAGAGAGGTTTTGGCCTAGGCGCTTAGCATGAGGAACGTCGATCCTGTAGGCCCAACAGCATTACAGATCCCCTGCATAATGTTAATGGGGCGGAGCCTATGCCGTTGCTTTCTTGCAAGACAGACGCGATTTGTGGCCACAAATCAGCATCACAAATTCTCTGAGGCGTGGTTTATTTTCGATATAGGGAGGGGGGATTTTTCCGTACGATACCAGGTTTGCGGCGCCCGTTCCCCCCACGGATTCCGGATTTTGATCAGCCGGAAGGTTTGGTTGTCGTGGTTCAATTCCCGGACTTCCAACACTCCGTACGCGTGAGGGGATTGTAACCCCTGGAGCACGACTTCTTCCCTCGATTTTTCCACCGCCTCGTGGCTGCAGGCTAAGCCCATGATATACCCCGCTTCGTAGTAGGAGAGCAACCGGTATGGGCCGCAAAAGTATCGTCCAACTCGCATATTGATATCATATTGCATGACAGATTGCTGCAATGTGTGTAGTCCACTTCGACTTTAGCATCAAAAATCCTCTCTTTCACATCATTGCACAAAATTGTCATGCTATCAATACAAGTGGCGCAAAGCAATAAAAATTTTGCGATGCATAATCGGGTCCACATCACGTCGTTCTGAAGATTATCGTCCAAAGCGTCAACTTCGTCCTGATCGTCCTCCGGGGGTTGCTCCCCCCGGAATAAAGCTGCCATTTTCAGTTGCTGAATCTGGGTTCTTCTCTTCGCCCTGGCTTCCTTGACCGATTTCGGCTCGTACAAACGCATTGTCTCGACGGGGTAGCTGTAATTGTATTTTTTGCATAGGTATTAAAAGCCTAACGCTTCTGACCTCCTGTCCCTGTGGGTTCTATGCATCACAAAACAATCTACAGTATGACACGTCGCATGATAAAAGAAAGCACACAAGAAAAATGTCTATACCCTGTCAGCAGCCCCAGCGCTTCTCCGAACGTGCCGCTATTCAGCGCCGAGTAGCAGCCAAAGAGCTTCGCCGCGGCTTTTTCAATTAACGGGACCCACAACTGTCTCCTCCGTGACTGCAAGTAGCTCAACTCCCCGCCCTGTGCGAAGTAAATGCTCCCACCGTCAATTTTCCCATCCCACACTTTGCTGCACGGGAAGAGGTCGTCCAGCAAAATGCCCCGCCACTGCCCGGCGATATCCACAAGAAATTTCCCGTACATGTACAAATGCGGTCCCTGCATGACAAAACTTGGCTTCGATCCTAGTTTAGCATGACACGTTTTACGGTCCAAATTGGTGAAATTTGTGATGCATGTTGTACATGTAGGGGAAATTTGTATTGCATAGGCGAAGCAGAGTTGCACCAAGTAGGCGCCGTGCTTGTTGTGGTCTTTTTTGTTGAAAAAAAGTTTCTCGACCAAATATGGTTTCAGAGCGACGACGGACAAGGCTCCAGCGAACCAGCAGTTTCCTATCGCACCCTGCACGACGTCCTCCGCTCGGGCTTCTTCGCGTATCACCTTCCACGGCTGCCCTAACGTGTTCCCGTGCTCGTCGCGGAGGAAGCCGGCGCAAAGTCGGGACTTCAGCGAGTTGTCGGTGATGGTCGGATACAGCATGTCCGTGATTGGGTCGCTGCTGCTCGAGCATTATCCTGTGCAAAAGTATTGTACTCGGATATTGAATGCTATTCTTGCATGACAGATCTACTTTTTTTACCTTAATTTGCAAGACAAATTCAAGGCTCTTCTTTTGAAGAAGTTTGTCATGCGCTTTATGCAGCTAGCACGTTACTCTTACTTTTGCAATGCATAAACACGGTCGCAGCCACGCGCTCGGGCGGAAGTGGAACTTCGTTACGGAAACATTCGTCGGCTTCGCTCGGCAGTGCCCGCTATGCATTGCAAAAGTATCGTATTAGTATAAACTGCATTACAAATGTCCTCAGCATTAGAAATGAAATTTGTAATGCGGATTTGTCTTCAGAAAAATATTTGTAATGCATGACAGCGATTACTACGAGTTGTACGATACTTTTGCACAGGATACCCGCACAGGATGCTGTCCAGCTTCGCTTGGAGACTTATCGCCTCCTGCTGCGTGGTATGCATTGCAAATATTTCTGGGTCTGGACGCGAACTTCTATCTAATGCGTATCTTGCATTCCTGGAAAATCTGTGTTGCATGAGCAGCAAATGAGCGGCTTTCCTTGTTATGCAAAAAGGCGATTTGTCATGCGCGTCACGACGCAGCAGAAAGCGTTTCGAAAGTTTGTCATGCTTGGCTGCCATTGCAAGCGTTCTTGCAGTCATGCGCAATTCAGCATCACAGGTTTCTAGACCCAGACACATTTGGACTGCATACGTTGCTGGTTTTTTAAACAGCGGCGGCAGCGGGTTTCGTTTGTGGCAGTTGAAGCACTCCCAGGTTTTCCCGTCTTCGGGGTCTGCGTAGAGAATTTTGTCGGAGGCTACGAATTGGTAGTCGATGTAGGGCATCCTGTGCAAAAGTATCGCACTCGTAGTCGTTGTATTGCAGTCATGCATTGCAAATTTTTTTCTGAAGCTAAATCCGCACTAGAAATTTTATTTCTCATGCTGAGGAAATTTGTATATGCATTTATACGAGTACCATACTTTTGCAATGCATATAGGGCTCCCCGAGCTGGGCCTGGATCGCGTTCACCTCGTCGACTTGCGTTTATGCATCGCAAATATGTCTGGGTCTGGCAACTTGTGTTGCTGTGGCTGATAGATACCTGCATTACAGACTGGCTGCTTCGATACGGCACAACAGCATGAGAGGTTTACCTCAGCTCTTTGCGGATTCATTCGCATGTAGCATTACAAACTGCCATCCAGCACGACAAGAAAACTGACCAATCGCATTCCTGCATTACACATCTTGTCGTCCTTAAAGTCCCGCATCACAAATCCAGACCCATACACATTTGGATGTGCAATGCATAGCTTCGGGTCTATCACGATGTTCTCGTCCGTGAACCGCACAAATTCCACGTCCTGCCGGTCTTTCAACCCCATCGGATCGTCGTCCGCGTCATCTTCGCCGTTTCTTTCCCCAGTAGTTGTTTTCTGCTTTTTATGTACCTGTCCGTCCCCCTCTCCCATCGACATGGCGAGCGCGGCGATCAGCTCTTCGTCCTCCTCATTGTGGGACATGGAAACGTCTAAATCGTTGTTCGCTGTTCCTGTTTATGCATTGCAAAAGTATCGTACTCGTATAAATGCATGACAAATTCCCTCCGCATGAGAAATAAAATCTGTAATGAGAATTCACCTTGAGCAAAGCATTTGTAATGCATGACTGTAATACGAGTACGATACTTTTGCACAGGATACTGTTCCACCATTGGCGCCACTACTGCTTGCTGATCCTCCTCCTGTTGTGTTTGTATTTGCTATGAGAGTGCAGAACTCCACCCCCTCATGGTCCTCATCGGTGCTATGCCTATGGCATGAAGATGAACAGCATCACAACCACCAACACACGTGGAGCCTGTGCATGACAAGTTCACACGCCGAGAGTACTGAGTGTTAGTACTGTTGCGGCTTCCGGATTTTGTATATGCAAATAATGCCACAAGGCACCAACTGGATTTTTTTGAGTTTTGCATTACAAATGGGCGGCAATTGTGCACTTTCATATTTGCGTTGTCCCCTCTCGCGGATTTCATCGGTTCATCCTCCGCATCATCGTCCATGGAGAGCAGAATACACTCGATGAGCTCATTCGCCTCTTGCAAAGCCGCCGTGTCATTCTCCGAATAGATCCAAATCCCCTCATCCTTCCGGAATTTCAGAGACAGCAGCAAAGCGTGGCCCGGGACTGGGATCTCGTTGAGCCAGGTTTTGTTTTTGATGATACTATCGTTGTTCACGGTGCCGGCAAGGAGTTTGGTGAGGGCTTGGAACGTTTTTTTCGGCCTCGGGGTTTCCTGGATCGATTCGATAAGGTCCTCCATTTTCTTGATAATATTCTGGGAAATGACTTTGGTTTTGGAGCAGTTCGTGTTTTAAAAAGAATACCGGTTCAATTTAGAAGCAACTCCTCGTCGTGAAACCACGGGGACTACAATCAACGGCTCTACAACTATATGCTACGATTCTACAGCGCTATCTTCGCACAATGTTAATGTTGCCTGAAGACGCCTTGGATGAGAAGAAGGTGAATGAGAAAGCAGAAAGCCACCCCCTTAACAGCCTTTATGTGTGGTATCACGAAGTCAGATAATTTTGAAGCAAAAAACAGTGCATATTTATCTTCTGTGTCTTGAAGTCATAAACTACGACCCCCCAGAAAGATACACCCTGATGATTTTGAACACCGGGCTCCTGTAGGTCCCAGAAAACGACGTATCAGTTTTCGCTGTGTAAAACTTACAAGTAGTTCCCCATGCTTTTTTACTCATCCAGGTGGTATATTAATCTTCACGTAGAAGAAGATGCGTGATTAAAACATTAGTGCGAATAATTCATGCTTCTGTATTCTCATGAGCAGCTGTCGAAGAAGGTGATCCAAAAATGTGCCGTGTCCGTATCAGACACGAACAGAAGATGCGCATTGCAAATAGTAAAGACTAAGAATGAGTAGTTACTTACCTTCGACGTAGTTGTGGAAGGAACAAATGCAAAAGTGAGACCCTAAAGGTTTTCTTCAAAATCAAAATCTATCGAGCATGAACAACATGATGAACAAGGTCTGATCTATCACGACGTCGTGCAAAAGTGAAGAAACGCCGTCCCAAATCTATTGCAAGACACCTTTTCACAGCCTCTAAGGCACATACGATTGGATCCCATCGCCGCGACCATAATTCATTCCCAGTTCTGCAGGAGCTCCAGGTCGTCCTGCCGCGGCACTACTAGAGGACGCCGATGCAACTACTACTCCATCGCCGCCACGGCCGCCACCAAGCTGCGATGCTTGTTCGGGAAGAAAATGGTGCGGGACGTTGGATGCCAGCGGCAGATGCGAGACTACACGGCGATCGACAGATTGAGCTTGTAGCGGTGGAAGGTCAACATGTCCTTGCGGTTGCTGCTGTAGTCCGGACGACCACGCTGATCCGCCGGGTCTCTGCTCAGAATTGATCGACAACGGTGAGAACGAGTTCTGCTGCACGAGAACTTGTTGCGGGCCCGGTAGTGGTGATGGTAGACTTCTACTTGTGCCACCCATTTGATCTGCCATTTGCAAAGAGGAGATCAGCTGCCTCGTCGAGGTTCCCTGCGGCTGCCGGTAGGTTTGTTGGAGGGTTTGTAACCCTGGAGCTGCTGCTGCGGCCGTAGTTGTTGTACTGGAAAAGGCTGTTGCCGCCGCTGCTGCTGCTGCTACGCCAGACGTCGCTCCAGTTGCACCAGTCGCAGCTGCTGTTGATGTTCCCACGGGATACAGTGCAAACGCCGGCGAAGCCGTTGAGTTCTCGTGCTCCAGCATCGCGAGACTGTGTGCAGAAAGCACTTGTTCGGGAAAATGCGGGGTGCCGCTGCCACGTTGATCTGGTACTACTAGCACACCCCCTCCTGCACCTCCTGCTACATTCATATAGAAGCGTCAGGATTGAAATCGTCAAAGTTGAAATAGTTTGTGATGCATAAAATGCAAGGTATGATGTGCGTGTCTTGCCGGGATGACGAGTGAGGCCGACTGTCAGCCTGTTTAGGGTTTGAAATAGAGCTGCTAAAGTAGCATGACAAAAGCATTCGTCTGTGCCCACACAGCATGACAAATTGGATTCCGGTGCGCGGAAAATTTGTCATGCGCCACTTGAAAACTGGGTTCCAACTGGCATCCATTTTATGCATAACAAATCATTTCAACTTTGTCGATTTCAAACCTGACGCTTCCATAATTCACCCCGCTGTCGTACCGCTGGACGGGAACTTGCAATTGCATGTGGTACGAGGAACTGGCCTTCACCGTGGTGGTTCTCTTGCAGCTCCGTAGCGCGGCCATGGATGCGGCTGTCCGTTCCGCATTACAAAGATCATACTCTGCTGCGTCCTCCACCCGCAACACAGATTCGATCACCTCTTCAAATTCCTGCGCTAAATGCTGGAAATTATTGCACGACTCTGCTAACCGTCGATGCGCCAAAAATATCAACTGCGAAAGTATCGTAGTCGTAGTGATTGCACTACTGCATGACAAATCTTTTGTTTTACCTGAATCACCATGACAAATTCCATTTTTCCTTCTGGGCAAATTTGTAATGCAAGCTATACTAGTACGATACCTTTGCAATGCATAAAAACGGAAAGTGGGGAGTCGCTCGAGGCCCAGAGGCAGACATCGTCTAGTTCGCTGTCGTCGTAGAGGTAGGCGTTGAGCTGTTTCGCGGTCGTCGGTCGGTCGGGCTTTTCTTGTTGATTCGTGGTATCATTATTGTTCTCGTGATTGTCACCAGCTTTATTCTTATTGTTGTTTCTACGGCAACAGCCGAAAAATGATTTTCTCGAACAAACACTATCGCCTCGTCTTCGTCCGCAGCAACACCCCTTCTTCCCCCGTTTTCGCCAATTCCGCCTTCTACTTTGGCAGCACATCGGGCAGCAACCCGGAAATTGTAGGCAGAGCAGGAGGTTCAACGTTCCAAACACCGCTCTTTTCAACATTTTGCACGAACCTCGCACACACCGGCCGAAGCACTTCTTGAAAGTCGTTGTGCATTTGGCGCAAGTTGAAGAGCCGGCTTTTTCAAGCTTTTCCTCGTCCTTGAAATCCTGCAATCGGTCGAACAGAGTTTCGATATTCCTCTCGCACACCAAGCTGCTTCCTAAGATGTCTTGGAGAATGTGCGCAAGGTTGTCCTTATGGTTTTTATTTCCATTTGTTCTTGGATTATCGTCGTCGTCGGAAGAAGCGTCTGTTTCACCGCCGTCCGAACTGCTCTCCGCTCCGGGTCCGACCCCCGCGCCAGCACTCCCCCCGCCCGGGGAGCTGTAGTGCTGTGAGAGAGGGGAAGTTGGGTTGCCCAGTATGTTGGCCTGTTCTTCGTCTTGGAACAGGCTGATGCTGTTTGCAGCTCTTGCAGATCGCCGCTGTGGTGCAGAAGAAGAAGCAGAACCCGCGTTACTATTCCTGGATGCAGCATTTGCATTTGAATTTATGTCTCCGCCAGCGACCTCCACACCAGTTCCTGAATGAAACGCTAAAGGTAATGCGCTAGTACATTCTCCCATGACAATTTGAAATTCCTGCAGCAACGCGAGCTTGTCCCGTCCAAACAAATCTCCAACCAGCGATAAATAGAAGTTGAACTCCCGCTCGACCTCGTCCGCCAAACTGTCATGCGCTTTCCCCAACGCGGTCAGCTGCGTGCAGTAGTTTTGCAGCTCTCTTTTCTGGAATTCCGCGATTCTCACCTTCGCGTCCTCGTCGCAAAGAATATTAGGTCGTTGCACCTGTCCAGTAGCTGGTGCTGGTGTCGGGGCCTTCAAAAGTTGCATCAGGGCCGGGGAGGAAGTGACCACTGGCGGTGTCCCCGCCGGAGCTGCGAGGCCTGCTTGTGTTCCTTCTTGTCCCACCCCGCGGCCACGGCCTCGGGTGACGTGGATTTGTCTGGCACTCTCTGCATTCCCCTTCTCCACGTCCGCGAGCCTTCTTGCGAAGCTGTAGTTATCAGGTGTGTCAGGATATCCAAGAAAAAAACATTGTAGGTGTAACTTTTTTGGAGGAACAGCATTACAAATCTGTCTGGCATGACAGCAAAAACCTGTCATGCGCAGATACTAAGTGAAAACGCCCGCTAGTGGACCCTACAATGCAGGCCAAGCATGACAGACGCAATCATCTTGCATGTTCCGCATCACAAATTTACACTAACAACGTTTTTTTCTTGGATACAGGACGCTCAGGATCTAGTACCTCATCGTGGTCAACTACATGCTGTTGTGAAAATCCACCTCTTATCAAATGCAAATATGTCCGGGCTTGGAGGACCGCAGAAGCTTGTCATGCTGTTTTTCCGTGACCCGAAAGGTCTGGCATGCAGACCCTAGCATTACAGGTTTTGAGAAGGTATCGCAATGCCTAATCCGCATGAAAAATCCCATCTTTCGGCGACACACGGTGGGCCACTTTTGCTGTCCACACATGACAGATTTTTGTGTGATTTGGAATGTGCATGACAAGTTCGCATCCTTCCAGACCCAGGAGGGATATTTGCAATGCATACCTCCGCCGCTAGACCCGCGGCCACTTGTAGTTCCATTGGAGCTTCTCCTAGTCCGTGCCGTCGACCCACTCGTCTGCTGTGCTACAACGGCCTGCTCGTCAGCACCGGCGGTGTCGCGGTCACCATTTCCGGTGCCATGCTGTTGCCCGTGGTTGTTCCCCGCTGCTGGTGTTGGTAACAGTGACGAAGTGCTGGTTCTAACTGCGTTCGATCCTGTGCCAGCACGATTTTCAAAGCCACCTCCCATCCCCGAACCGCCACTGTCTCTGCTTCTGCCGGAATTCGCAAGCAATCCCCGGCGACTCTGACGGGTCGACATAGCATTGAGATCCGCACCGCCTGCAATGCTCCTTCCACCTACCGACCCACTCGCCCCCCCGCCTCCACCACCGCTCGTTCTTTGCGAGTTTGTCGCGGTAAACATCTGTCTCCTGACCTTCAACAGGTCGGATCTGTGACAATCCTTGATCGCTTCCACCTCATCCGTGTGTGAACTGGGTCCGCCAAACAACCCGGCCTTGTTGTTGAACGCACCTGCGCCACTTGTCCCGGACCGTTTGAAGAAGTGAAAGGAGGACTTTCGTTCCAATCTCACCGTTTTCAGACTCGTCGCGGATTTTGCACGCACGAGTTGGTCGAAGCGCGACAGGTTCGTGTTTTCCCGTTGGAGGGTCATTTGCTGGGATTGGGATTGGGAATGTGAGTGGTGGTGGTCATCTTCAGCAGCTTCCTCCTGGCTTGTTCCGGTATTCATTGCGTAGTTCATCTCACCGTCAAGACCGGTACTGCAGCCGATACGACCGTCACCACCATCGGTGCAGCCGGTGCAAGAACTACTCAGCAACACCAGTGACAACTCCCGACTGTAATCTCGCCACTGTTTGATACTGTAACGGAGGATCTTCAACTTTTCTACCTTCTTTTCTAAGCTCGTCAGCTGCTCTTCCAACAATAAATGCCTCGGCTCCTGTATCCTGTGCAAAAGTGTCGCACTCGTAATCGTATTGCAGTCATGCATTACAAATCTTTTTCTTGAGGCAGATCAGCATTACAAATTTTATTTCTCATGCTGACGAAATTTGTAATGCATTTATACGAGTAAGATGCTTTTGCAGTTCATATCCTGCCACCGCAAGCTCGCCCTGGCCACCCAGATGGCGAAAATCACGGGTAAGTAGACTGTCAGTTTCAGCATGCCATGCGCGATATGCATTGCAAAAGTATCGCACTAGTATAAACTGCATGACAAATTTGCTCAAGATTAAAAATGCAATTTGTAATGCTGTTTTCGCTTAGAAAGTCGATCTGTCATGCATGGCTGCAACTAGTACGAGTGCGATACTTTTGCACTGGATATGCGAAGGCGCCGGTGGTGATGCAGCCCGCTTGGCCCAGCCAGTAGGTGACCACCATACCAGAAAATAACGGGAACATCTGCCCACGTAAAACGTCGTTTTTCAAAATCGACATGATCTGCCGGGTTCTGGTTCTTAATTGCAAACTGGTGTACGCGCGTTTCGTCCGTTCATTCGGATCCGCGTTGGTGGTGGTAGTAGAGTATGCTGTGCAAAAGTATCGCACTCGTATAAATGCATTACAAATCTCCTCAGCATGAGAAATAAAATTTGTAGTGCTGATTTGCCTTCGGAACAAGATTACTATCTAAACTGCAGCAGCTGGTCAAAAATGCAGGCGAGGGGTATGTTCTGGGGTATGTTCGGGGGTGTGTCAGGGGTATGCAAATGGCCGTCAATCACGGGCGGAATGCAATTTTTTGGCGAAAAAGCAACAGGCGGGGTATAAACATACCCCAGACACACCCCAGACACACCCCAGACACACCCCAGACATACCCCAGACAGACCCCCGAACACACCCCAGGCAAAAAGTCCGAACATACCCCAGACACACCCCGGACACACCCCGGGCCGACTTTCCGACACACCCCGGGCAGACTTTTGGACACACCCCGGACACACTTTGGGACCTCGCCACGCGAGATGTGCAATGGCGGACTCCAGTTTGTCACGCAGGCCGCCAGCCTGTCGAGCTTCCCGGGCCCCGTTGGCAAGGCCCAGGGACGAAAGGCGCCCTCGGTCAGCGCGGGGGCCCTGTCCCCGCGTCATGACCTGGGGGCCAGCTTTGGGCGCTTCCCGGACACCGTACGGCCCAGGGGCAAAAGCCCTAGGTCAGCGCGGGGACTCGGTCCTCGCGTCATGACCTAGGGGCCAGCTATGGGCGCTTACATCCCGGAAACCACCCGCACGGCCCAGGAGGAACAAAAGCCCTAGGTCAGCTCGGGGACTCGGTCCCCGCGTCATGACCTAGGGGCCAGCTTTGGGCGCTTCCCGGAAACTAACCGGCCGCACGGCCGAGGAGCAAAGGCCCTAGGTCAGCGCGGGGACTCGGTCCCCGCGTCATGACCTGGGGGCCAGCTTTGGGCGCTTCCCGGAAACTAACCGCACGGCCCAGGGGCAAAAGCCCTAGGTCAGCGCGGGGACTCGGTCCCCGCGTCATGACCTAGGGGCCAGCTTTGGGCGCTTCCCGGAAACTAACCGCACGGCCCAGGGGCAAAAGCCCTAGGTCAGCGCGGGGACTCGGTCCCCGCGTCATGACCTAGGGGCCAGCTTTGGGCGCTTCCCGGAGACTAGCCGCACGGCCCAGGGGCAATCAAAAGCCCTAGGTCAGCGCGGGGACTCGGTCCCCGCGTCATGACCTAGGGGCCAGCTTTGGGCGTTTCCCGGAAACTAGCCGCACGGCCCAGGGGCAAAAGCCCTAGGTCATCGCGGGGACTCGGTCCCCGCGTCATGACCTAGGGGCCAGCTGCAGATCCAGCGCCAGACTCTTCCTTTCTGTTCTCTTTGTTCGCGGTAGGTTAACGGGCCTAGTGTGGGCAAGCAGAGGGGCTCCGTCCGCAGATCTGTCGTGGATCAGAGGACGCAGGCCACACAGAAACACCGGGCTGCAGTGGTCTGCCTACCCAGTGCCACCACAACCCCCGAACTCGTCCCAGACAAATGCCGGAAGGTCGCCGCACGGGGACTCTGTCCCCGTGCTCGGACCTTGTTTGTGATGCAAGACTTGCATTTATACGAGGAATACGATACTTTTGCACTGGATATAGAGGATTGAAGGATCTCTTCCGCGTTTGCGTCGTGGGTGTTCGCTGGAATTATGCTGGTGACGTCCCCCTCACATCCGGGTTGTGCAGCATTCGGTGATCTCCTGCAGGAGCCACGATTTTTACCTCCTCGCCCACAGGAGAACGTGTTTCCGAGCCTTTGTAATACGGTTGCGTAGAAGGGGTTGTTGTTCTGTCCATGCTCCTGCTGTTCGTCGGAAGAAGACGCGCCGCTGAAGTCGGCGGTGCCAGCACTTGTTGTGCCACCTTCGGGAGGACCACCTATGCGGACGCGAACCTCTGATTCCTCTTGGTCACCATCCGTCCCCGAATCATCTACACCGGCACGGTCTGGTGTGGTTGTGCCGGAAACTGGCTGGGAAGAGGAAGATGACCGTTTTCGGTAGTTGAAGAAACCAGCTCTGTTCTTTCCGAAAAGTCTTTGGAAAATACCGGTCGGCTGACCATCGGGACGTGACGAAGTTCTTCCGTCGGATGTTGCTGAGCCCGGTCCTTCGCCACCAGAAGATGATCTGGAGCGCGTAGTTCGAAGCGGCGGGGCACCAGTAGTGCTGCTTCCGGCAAGAAGTCGGTGCGCGGACACTTCTGTTGGTAAATAACCTGTTGTAGGAGATGCGCTGTAGCTATTGTGGACGACCCAATTGCTCCACCCGGTGAAACAAAAAAGGCACGACAAAACGAACGGCACCAGGCTGCTGCAGTGAAGAAAAAAGCGGCCACGACGACGCACTGCAAGAACCATCTTTTGTATCATCTTTATTTGCAGCATCTTTTGCAGGGGGCCCGGGAGGTGGATCAGGATCTCGACGGCGTAGTACCCGTTTGTTGTTAGTTTTGATCTCACTCTACGGGAGAAGCGATGAAAGTCTCTCTGATCTGTAACGAGGCCTGTTAGCTTCAAAGGGCGGGTGGCGGCTAACAAGTTGTAGAATAAATTCACTCGGTTCAATATCATTTGCTCTTCCAGCAGCTGGCCGAGTGCTGCTCTTGTACGTAGAAAAACTATATTTGACGCACTGCTACAAAAGATCCTTTGAAAAAACGTGTCGTCCGTCCATAATCACAGGATCGTGACGACATTCCAAGTGCACGCTGCACGCGGAAGCTCGGCACAGAACACAAAGCCACCTAGCGGTGTTTTTACACAAGCACCTTGCTGTGGCCCGCTGCACGACCAACAGGCCTCAGTTCTTTTGCGAGTATGACTAGCACCTCTGGCCATCGAGGAACCCTGAAGAACAAGTGTTGAAGTACTAAATGCTATCGTCGAACCGGGCTTTCACTTATCAAGCCGGTGGTAATCATAATGCTGAGTAGGGCTCGCATTCGAGTTTGAATGTGTTGTAGTCCTTTTTAGAAGTAGTACGAATGAAAGAATTGTTTCTATTGTTGTAGAGGAAAACGAAAAGAGACGCAAACCCCCAGAGGAAGATCTACATATCTTGGTGGTGCAAAAATAGGGTCTGCGACGAGGACACAATCGACCACGTAGAACTGCGATCGTCCCAGAGCAGCCGTTGTTTTCTTGTCCCCTTAGCAGCAGCTAGCTTGTTCACCTGCTTCTTTACGGTATCGCGATTTTTACGGGGGAAAAATCTGTGGTGGTTTTGTTCGTCTCAAATGAGATCATCTCGGAGCGAGGTGCTTCGAAGTAAACCTAGTAGTGCTGGTTTTTTTATCGTGTGCTATCGTGTTGAGATGCATTCGATCCTTGTGGTCACCTCCTATAGCCTATAAACATACGTGCTTAATAGGCCAGCTAGCAGCCACAGCATGAGCGGAAACGGCGTTTCTACCCTCGCTAGTATTTGCTATCCAGAGGACAGATCGTCAAAAGCCGACGGACACGATCTCGGATCTTTCTGGTTTATAATTCTGAAGATACAACCGTATAATATAAGAAAGCAAATTCAGCTTTTACGTTGCAAAGTTGCTAATGCTAGGTTTGGTAGGTACTTACAAATGTTAATGTTATTGACACTTTACTTAGTGCTTGTTGTTATTGTCGTGCAAGAAATCTCAATATCAGATCCTTCTTTACTAAACCTTTCGTTTATCCATTTCCTCCACCGAAAGGGGGAAATTCGACAGAAGTTCTTGTAGATACGCAGCTTACAATTTTCGGTTGTTCTAACAAACGTCCAAAAAAAAAATTTTGGGAACGATGGCCATGATGTAACACTTTCAAAAAAAAACTATGTGAAAAAGCTTCTTTCTTTCAATAAAAATCAAAGACGTTTATGTTGCTTTCATTTTTCAAGCTCCATTTCTTTTTCATGTTTTGCAGATTTTTTTTTGTTCAATTTTTTTGAACTGCAATGCCTGTTTCTTTGATAAGTTAGAGGCGCTACGCCCTTCAGCCCCCCCGTTCGGCTACGTCTCGGATCTTGCACCTCAGTCTGGCAAAAGTCGATCCTTTTTATCGAGTCTGCCGCCCCAGAAGTAAGCTCCTACAAAGTGCGTCACCGAGAGAGACCTGCCCTTTTTTGCATAGGGCAAATCCGAAGTCGGGAGGAGCAACGCTGGCGGGCTGTCTTACTATTCGTATGCTATAACAAGCTAAATTTTACGTATAAATACAATTTCAGTTTTGGTTTTTTCATAGATGGATTGGCTTTGATTTTCGACCAGAGCAGCAGTCTTTTCGGAGTTCGAAAATAAGCACTACTTCTAGTTTTCCATTCAAGAGTAGTACTTCACTGGTCTTCGAGGATTTATTCTTTCATATTTTTTAATATCCTTTTCTTTCGAGAAATGCTGGCAGGAATATTGAAAACAGTCTTGCTGCCGCTGCGTTTTCCTTGGACGCTTTGTTACTGAAATCGTGGTCGCGTATCATGGAAATGGAAATACTCTGATACTATACTTCTTGCACGTCACTTACTTTGCTTTTGCAACTGTCACTGACTTCGTCATGTTTTCAAACTCGAAGTGTGGCAGCCTACTGTTACTGTAGGACCTTCTACTTGCTCCAACTCACAAAATCCCACGTACAGTGTCTGAAAAAAATGGATTTACGTTTTAGTTGTGATGCACCTGCGCCAGCATCTGGTAAAATTCCAAAAAAAACACTTACAACTGCCAAACCAGATAAAATTGATGCCACAAATCAAAATCCTTTAAGACTGGTGCAACTCTACACATCTACACAGAAACGCAATATCATGCGTGCCCCAGCGGAGAGGAGAGAGATGAACGGCCGCACTAATTAATAGAATCTGCGACGATTAGTGCGTGCAAAAAAATAAAAGATGACCCTGCTTCATTTGCGCATCACAAAATAAAGCACAGGCTAACCTTCGTCGTAATCATTTCTAGAGGGATACTTATAATGCTATGGCACGACAATAATGAGTATCCTGAAATTCGTATGGAAAATATAATCGCATACGGGACGTAGAAGCAGTACCAATTATACCACAACGGTTAGATCTTCGAGATGTTGAGCGAAATGATTCCCTCCGAGCACTTCTAGCGGCCCCACTCTTGAAAAAACAACCATACCTGTACGCTGCACGAGCTGCAGCTGCACAGCATAACTATGGTATCATAAAATTGATTGATGGAGCTGAGCAATCGTATCAAACACTTTTGCGGATAGCGTTTCTGCTGGACAAAGAATATGACGAGAGCCTTGCGGCCCCGGTCCCGATGATTGAAAGAAGAAGTGATGTCATAATATAATCAATCTTGGGGTGTAGCATAATTGAAAACAGTTGTCTACAATACGCGCCAGTGATTGGAACGCCTTGTAGTACAAAAAGCTACACGACGACCGTTGTAGTTCAACTTTCTACAAGTTGGTCCCGAGGAAAGTAGAACTGTGTCTCGCTGTGACAGTGGTTGGGTGCCAAAATAACGAGCTGATATATTGCAAAATGTTACTGTAGGCCTAATTGCAAAATGTTACTTTTTACACTCACATCAATTTTGACAAATCAGTCAAGAACTTTTCCAACAAAGAATAAATACTAGAAGCATTTTTCCAGCTTCGCAAAAAATTCAAATCACAACTATTGGTGGATTTGATCGATTCACAAATTATTCCGTGTCTCTACTCCTTAGGGTAGTTAATCCCAAACCGGGACGAGGAGTAGAGACTCTTTTCCCTTTACAACTGCTGTTTACCGTGTTTTTCTTTCTTCTGCAGCGTATGGATTGCAAAAATGTCTGGGTCTGGAAGAATACAAACTTGTGATGCGCGTTTCAGAACACCGAAAACCCTCTCATGCATAGGTAGCAAAAGCTGCCCACTTTCTGTCACCAAAATTATGAGGGATGTGTCATGCGGATTCGGCATGGCGGAAGCTTCTTGAAACCTGTGATGCTAGAGCTTCCATGTCAGACCTTCTGCGTCATGCAAAAACAGCATGACTCTTCCAGACCCAGACACTTTTACATTTGATACAGCGTCATCTTGAACCACTCATAGTACTTTTTCGGGTCCTATCAAATGCAAATATGTCTGGGTCTGGAAAGGTGGAACTTGTAATGCATATTTCACAACACGCAAAAAACTCTCATGCATAGACAGCAGAAGCTACCCATTTTTGTCACCGGCAACATATGCGATTTGTCATGCGGATTAGGCAGCGACGCACCTTCTCAAAACCTGTAATGCTAGACCTTGCATGCCAGACCATCTGGGTCATGGGAAAACAGCATGACAAAAATCTGCATCCTTCCAGACCCAGACATGTTTGCAATGCATAGGTCCTGGTTCTGCGGCAGGCTGGGGTCCCGGTCGATACTGTGACGCGGGATTCCGTTTTTCGAGTGAGACTTCGGCAACAACTCGATGGTATTGTACTCGTTGTTCCGCAACTTGTTCAGGTCGTAGTCATTCCCATGCGGCATGTGCTCCTCATACAACAACTCCTCTCGCGAAGGCGGCCGGGAGATGGGATCTTGATCTTCATTGGTCGCGCTGAACACTTGTTCGGGAGAAGATGAAGAAGAAGACGAAGAAGAAGAAGAACTGGCGGCGTTGTTGTTTTTCGTTTTCGCCTTCAGCTGCTCTCTTGCTTCCAAGTCCCACTTCGAGAGAAAAATACCACTCCCTGTGTACCGACTCGGCGTGGGGGCGGCAACAACCAGAGTATGCAAAGGAAAAATATCTTCATCAACATCTTCGCACAACTGCTAGAGATATATATTGAAATTTTTTCACAAGGAAATAAAATCGAATTTGTGATCATGCAGATTGCGGAGGTCAAGCAAATCTGTCATGCAACATGTAGTACTGCAATTTGTTCAGCAGTACGAGAATGCGATGAAGAACTCGTTCACACACGACCGGATACAAGCCACTGCCGAGCGACTCCGACCCGTTGCGAGACCCGGTCTGGCGGGATTCCCGCGCCAAAGGTTCTTGATTGTCACCGACACAGACCGCTTCGCCCGTCGCGGCGGCGATGCTGGCCTTACGGGCAACATCGGAGGTCTGACGGATGATGGTGGGCAGGAGGGGGGGAGTAGAGGTAGAGCTAGAGGCAGAAGCAGCTTGTTCTACTCCTTCCACATCATGCTGGTCCTGGTTATCGTTATTTCCAGTTGCCGCGTTCTCTACATCGTTTTCCGCAGGCAGTTCTTCCAACGCGTCGTGAAATTCCCAATGGTCGTAGGTTTCCGTACGGGCGTGGCCTGGAGTTGTACCATATCAAAAGGAAAAATCCCCCCTCCCCATACTGAAAGGGTATATTTTTGGAAATTTGTAATGCTGATTTGTGGCCACAAATCGTGTCTGTCTTGCAAGAAGGCAAGAACTCCACACCCAACCGCCGCACTGTGCAGGCGGTTTGTCATGTTGTCGGGCCTACAGTGCCGACGTTTTTCATGCTAAATGCCTAGGCCAAAACCTCTCTACTCACGCTTGGTATGGGCCTGCAGTGCTATCCAGCAAGACAGCTCGGATTTGTGTACACAAATCCAGCATCTGAAGTTTCGTTTTTATATGGGGAGGGGGGATGTTTCCTCTCAATATACCAGCACTAGCCGTCTGCAGCTGGTGGTCATTATTCATATTGTCGTGGTTTTGCCGCTGCTGCTGCTGCTCCCGCTCCTGCTGTGAGAGGACAAAAACAGTCTGATTGCCATTGCTCTCCACTTCATCCAGATGACACTCCGATAACGAACGCGACACAGATTCGTCGAACCCAAGGCACGCGGAGAGAGAAATACTTTTTGGTTCCTCCCGCTCCTGCTGTGTGAGGACAAAAACAGTCTGATTGCCAGTACTCTCTACTTCATCCAGATGACACTCCGATAACGAACGCGCCGCAGATTGTTCGAAGCCAAGGCACGCGGACAGAGAAATACTTTTTGGTTCTACTACTTCGACGGATGATGTTGGGGGGGCTACTTCTGAGTTGTTGTTTTCAACATTCTTCGGCTCAAGCTGTAACGGCGTGTGGGCCGTGGCAGTAGCGAGCGTGGAAGAGGATGATGAGGGGGCTGCGTTATTTCTATTCCTCGACGAGAACGAAATTGCAGACAGACGCTTGCTATGCATTGCAAAGGTACCATCGGATTACATAGTACCAGCAGTAGCATTACAAATTTGCTCAGAAGTAGGAAAAATGCAATTTGTCAGGCCAAATTAGCTAAGAGCGAGGATCTGTCATGCTGTACTGCAAATAATTCGCGTGCGACAATACTTTTGCAATTCAAATTCATACTTGTGCTGTTCCACCAACTCCATCTGCTGCGCAAAGTTCTCCGCTTCCCGCATATGCGCCTGAATCTGCTCGCCCGTTACATCTTCTTTGATGCCGCAAAACAATCTTGCATCCGGCGCGCCAAAACAAGCAAGGCTGTTGCTTGAACTGCCCGAAGCGAGGCTGTTCCGGGAAGCTGGGACGGGCAGCTCGGGAAAAGTAGCAGCAGTGGTCGATTGTGTTAAATTACGGGATATATCAAATGCAAAAAGGTCTGGGTCTGGAAGAATACAAACTTGTGATGCCGATGCGCATTTCAGAACACAGAAAAATCTCTCATGCATGGGTAGCAAAAGCTGCCCACTCTCTGTCACCAAAGTGGGGGATTTGTCATGCGGATTCGGCATTGCGGAAGCTTCTCGAAACCTGTAATGCTAGAGCTTCCATGCCAGACCTTCTGTGTCATGCAGAAACAGCATGACTCTTCCAGACCCAGACACTTTTACATTTGATATATATTATTGAAGGAGTTCATCGGAGGGAGCGGAGCACCAGACATTGCAACGGGGATTTGATCGTAAGATGAATTTTTGCATGGGTATTGCTGATGCTGGTCGTTGCTGAAGGTAGTACTAAAGGCGGACTGCTGCAGCTCCGAAGAAGCAGAAGATGACTCACCATGCGACGAATTGAAGCTGCTGGACTGCTCAAATATAGACGGGTTATGATGTTCGTGCGGGAGCACCAGCGAGGCATTTGGACTTCCAGATGGCGGACTTCCACCAGCGGCATGATGAAACAAGGGGGCCCCACTTTGCTGGTGGCTGTACCCACCAGGCGGGTACATGTGGTTCATCGGCGGGTAGTTGTGGTGCCCTTCTTGAGCAGTGCCACTACCGCTCGGAACAAACGGCGCACCCCCGTAGCCGCCGCTGCCGCCCTGCTGATATACCATGAACGAATGATGATGATCGCCCATTATGGCGTTCTCAACTGTTACATTCTCAACTGTTACATGGATTTGCGATGCAGAAATGGCAACAGTCTACGGGGTAAGCTTGCTGCTTTCGCATCACAGATTTGGCACATATTTAGATGCTGTTTGGCCTCTCGGAGATTTGTCATGCGAAGCAGCTTGGTCATCTGGCGGCTCAAGGTAGTCTTGCATGACAAACAAGGCCCACCCGAGCGTGGGGACAGGGTCCCCACGCTGGGGCCTTGTGCTCGTCCCTAGTGGCGCTAGTGGGGGAAGGGTGTTCGGCATCGGGGCGGACAGCGTCCGCCCCTCGCCTCACACCAGGCGCGCGCGTAGTGGCTTAGTGCGCAAAACGCTAGTGGGGGAAGGGTGTTCGGCATCGGAGCGGACAGCGTCCGCTCCTCGCCTCACACCAGGCGCGCGCGTAGTGGCTCAGTGCGCGAAGCGCTAGTGGCAAAAGGGCGAAGTAGGCGCCCTGCATTTTGCAAGACACAACAAAAATAGAGGCAAAGTAAATATCTCTGTGTGGCTGCTGCAAAAAAGTTCTCTAATATTGAAGCGCAACGCCTTTCCGATTCCACAGAGCAAAGTAAGCAGCTGTCTCCTGGCCGTGCATTGCAGACATAGCCGCTTTTTTATTTTTGCATGGCAACGCAAAGACTTCTTTGTTTATGGAGGCAGTTTGTGTTACAGCTTTAATCTTTTCCATTTTTTGCGTCGCGTTTTTTTTTTTTGGCGCTTTTAGTCTATTCTTGTTTTTCACGTCAAGGTCAAGAGCGGCACTTGGCGTGAGAAATAAATATTTGCGCCCAGGCGCTGGTCTCGCCTGTGCTTTATCCTCTCGCTTCGCCTGTCGCGGCCACCTGTCAAGGTCACCTGTCGAGGTCACCTGTCTAGGTCACCTGTCAAGGTCACCTGTCGCGGTCACCTGTCGCGGTCACCTGTCACGGTCACCTGTCGCCGGGGGGTAGGCGGGACCAGAACCCGGAAGTCAAGCAATGTAAATATTAATTCATGTCACAGTTGAGAATGTGACAGTTGAGAATGCCATACCCATCATGTTGTAGTTCGGAGGTGGACCACACTGATGCTCCTGCGAACAACCTCCAGCTGGACCTCCACCCCCCATCGGTGTGGCGTTCTCAACTGTTACGCTCTCAGCTGCTACATGAATTTGTCATGCAAAATTGCCATCAGCCTCCTCTTGATCAAGGTGCTTAGCATGACAAATTTTCGAAGGGCTCAACAGCATGATAATCTGTGGCACATCTGTGATGCGAAAGCTGCAATGTTGCCACTCTCACTTTTGCTGTTCTTGCATTACAAGTCCATGTAACAGTTGAGAATGTAACGTCTGAGAACGCCATAATCGGCCACCCATGGTTGTAATGCGGCCCAGAGTGTACGTGTAGTCCCACCCCCGGAGGGGGCAAAAACCCGTGATTCTGAATGATGTAGTTGTTGATGATGGGTTGCTGCACGGCCGCAGCAGCTCCTGCGGCTGCAGCAGCTCCAGAGGCTGCTGCTGGTGCGAAGGCACCGGGCGCCGCTGCTCCTGCGCCGGAGGTCGACGTAGGGGGGTTGTTGGGGGAAAGCCCGATCTTCAGGAGCTCCGCCACCCTCGGGTTGTTCAGCATCTCCGCGACGGTGGTAGAAGGAGATTTGCTCTTCGCACCATTATCCTTCAGCGCGACCTCGGCATGATCATCCGCCGAACAACCTTGTCCGCCCATCGGTTGTTCGGGCACAACTACGGTTTCGGTTGCTGGGATGTACTGGGAAAAAGCTCCGCAACCGGGGCCAGCTAAATGCTGAAAGAATAAAGAATTGTCTTGTTGTTCTACTTCGCCGGTTTGAGAAGTTTGTTGCTGCTGCAAAGGCGTCTCAACAGAGTCGGGTAGTAAGGCAAGCCCGTTGGCACCATTGCTGCCATCGTTGGCGGTAACGGTATTCAAATCAAGAGAAGTACTAGTCGTGGTTACAACCGGGCGTCCCACGGTGGTGGTAGGAATGGCGGAAGCGGGGATTTCGAAATGCTGTTGCTGTTGGAGGTTCTTCTTCTTCGCGGAGGTATTTCTAACACTGGTCAACAACTTCGTTGCACTGTTCTTGTCACCTCCCGGAGTGGTGCTGGTACTTTTCTCACTCCCCTTCGAGGACGTCGTCGGCGAAGGTACGATTTTTCTCTTGTTAGTCACAACCACCCGCCCGTTCCCGCCGAAGATATCCGGAGTTGCGTGTACCGTAGGAGGCTTCGGAACTCGAGCCGGCTCGGTACTAGACGTACGCGTTACAGATTGCGTCCGCTCTGGGAAGAAAACTGATGGTTGTTGTATTTTGGCATGTATTTTAATTGCGAGCGTCGAACAAGTGGATCATAGACATCTACAACTATTTTCTACAACATGTACATGATCCATTTCAGTAAAGTAATACTTTTACTTTACGTTTACCTCACAAAGTAGAAAAGTTGTCCTCTCAAACTCCTAAACCATGAATAGCGAAGATCGAAGAACAAGAAAGGCTCTAAATGAGTACGTTGCTTCCGACTGTTCCGAATGGCGTCCACCTCGATCTGCGGATTCATGCCCGGTGGATACTTTACGGTCTTTTTCATAGAGTCCGAATGCGGCGTCACAATTTTGGTGGCAGATTTCGGAGTTTGGTCCACCAGACTCATGCCTGGCGGGGGAAAAGCGAGTGCGTTCTGCAGCCGGAGCTTTTTCAATTTTTCCTTTTTCGCCGATTTCGCTTCGGCTTCTTCCTGTTTATTTCCCTTCACCTCGAGCTCGATCTTCGTCTTCGCCGCCTGCAGGGTCGTAGTGGAAGAAGTGGCGGCGCAGTTGCTTGCACTATTTTCAACAGTGCCTGCAGATGGAGTTGTTCCAGAAGAAGTCTTATGGATTGCAAAAATGTCTGGGTCTGGAAGAATGCAGGAGTTTGTCATGCAGATTTTGCATGACGCATGAGGTCTGTGATGCATGCCCTAGCATCAGAGATTTTGCGAGGGATTTCTGATGCTCATACCGCATGAGAAATGCCCTCTCTATGTAGCACAAATTGCACCTCTTTTGCTGTTCATGCAAGACAGATTTTATGTAGATTCCAAAAGTAGCATCACAAGTTGTTTCCTTCTAGACCCAGACATTTTTACATTTGGTAGGTCTGCTTTAATACCAATGGCGGGCTGGCCAGCTCATGCAGCGAAGAGGAATCATCCACCGGCGCAGCAGAGACGCTACCTTCCTCTACTCCGGATGCAGAAGCAGAAGTTTTTCCCGCGGTCGTTGTAGACGCAGACGCAGTGGCTACAACAGTATTCGGTGCAACAAACTGCGGTGCTGGTAATTTCTGCTTCAGCACTTTTCCTCCGGCCGCTGCCTGCTGCTTCATCAACCAGTTGGACTCAGCCTCATCGAGATGAGCGGTTGGCTTGTTCGAAGTGTACGTTGCCTGGTCGACGTTGCTCATCAACTGCGCAGAACTGGTGTTCTTGTGCCCCTTGGTGATGTTTTCCGGCACGCTGCCCTTGCCTTTCTGATGCTGCGGCGACTTGCCCGTTGCTCCTTTACCTTTTCAATTTTTGAACAGACTAACAGAGAAGCTCGACGTGACCGGGGAGGTCACGTCCACCCGGCCGGCCGGCCGGCCGGACCGTGACCGGGGGTAGATTATGTCCCGCGGCTGCTATCCGGGCGCGGGCTGCGCCAGATGTTAGTTTTGCAAGCAGAGCCGCTCCGGCTCCACCCGCAGTGCCTATAATCGAAAGCCTGGGTGGGCCTCAGGCTCCTGCAAAGTAGCTAGCGTTGCGGGGGCGGATTTTATTTATGCAGTAGCTACTGTAGCGAGACACCGCTGGCAACCGCTCGAAACACCCTGCCCACCCACCCCACCCCAACCCCACCCTCACTCACACGGCTGCGACTCCCCCACCCCCGTCCGTTTCCCCGACTTTGCTTGCGCGCAAACGGAGAAAAGGGGCTGGGGACAGGAATGCACTGCCACTTCGTGGCGCTGCCACTTGGATCCGCCTGAGCTCGGACGACGCGCCGCATATTGAGACCTGTGGCTCTCAGGCGCAGTGACCTGAACCCTAGCACTGAACGACTTTGGCTCAAGGTACAGCGCCACGACCTCCTGGTGCCCCCATGCCCTTTTCACTCTTCGCGCGAAGGGTGAAAAGGGGCCGGGGGTGTGAAGTCATGGCGCTGTGCAATGAGCCATAAATGTCGCGACGCAGACTTCGCGTCTTTGCCACAGTCATAGGTCCGCGTCAATATCATGCAGCACGCCCATGGGCGTCAGCAGGTCGGATGCGTTGTATATTGAGCCCAGAGCGAAGTCGTGGCTCCGAGGTTTAGTGAGCCGCACTCTAGTACCACTGGACGACTTCGGCTCAAGGCACAATGCCGCGACTTGCCTGTTGCTCCTTTCTGATGCTGCGGCGACTTGCCTGTTGCTCCTTTACCTTTTCATTTTATACAGAATCAGCCAGAGATAGATCATCCTTTGGATGATCGTAGGCTTCCAGTGGGAAGCCGTCTTCACCGGAAGGGCATGAGCGCCCGCGATGGGGCACCGCTTCCAGTGGGAAGCCGTCTTCACCGGAAGGGCATGAGCGCCCGCGATGGGGCACCCCGCCACCGCCGAAGGAGCCACGCGCCGAAGCAACCCCAAAGAACCCGCAGGAAGCGGAGCGACCCAGCGATGAATTTGGGGGACAACACGCCCCATCGAAAAGGCCGCGCAGCCCTGGAAGGCGGGAAAGCAATATTTATAAGTTCCAGCCAAAAAACACAGTGAGCAACGTAATGCGGGACCGGAAGTCTTCCTTAATAGCCTGCAAGGCAGGCGATATCATTTAAACCCGTAGCAGCCTCCAAACAGTGCGCAATCAATGGCGCCAAAGACGCCAAATAGCGCCGACCTTGGTCGTTTTATCCGTGACCTTTCTCGCAACGTAAAATTGGCAAAGGCCAGATACAAAAAGCCCTGTGGGAGCTCAATAAACCCAGCTGAATACAACAAGCCCCCGGCTTTTCTTATCCCAGTCTCCCCCTCTGCAAGGGTAACGGATTGGGCTCGGAGCCCGTTTACCGCCAGTGCCAAACAGCCGAGAAAGGTCAGGATAAAAACAACCAAGGCCATTGAGATTGACCGCGAGATGAAACCAAATGTAAAGAGAGACAGCTCGTCCAGAACCAGGTCAAAGACCGTGACCAGGAACCCTAGACATCACCAGACAAAGCGCCGCCAGAATCTCTGACCGAAATGGGTCAGGGCTCGCAATAACACGGCCAGCCGGGGTTTAATTTCAACCCCGTCTCACCGGACAATCTTAATAAAACATCTGGCCAGGGTTTAATCTCAACCCTGTCTCACCAGATAAAATAAAGCCTTTGCCTTTCTGATGCTGCGGCGACTTGCCTGTTGCTCCTTTACCTTTTCGTTTCATGAATGATGGTGATACTAACAACCGAATCTGTTTATGCGAAGAATAGTCATAGATACTGAAGAATCATTTCCATGCAAGTAGTATCAGGACGTGAAACAGGCGATTTAACTTGTACCCTTCACATGTCCGTATAATCCCCCGCCGTCGTTTTTGTTCGGACCATAACACACCCCCTTTTCCTGCTGCTTGCCCCACGGCATGATCATGGGGCCAGCACAACTACTACCTTTGCCACCGTAAGAGTTGTAGTTGTCTTTGCAGGATGTTGGAATATTCGCTCCGTAATAAGGTCCATCCTTACAACCACCGTCCTTTCCGCCGAACACGCCCTGACTGTACATCAAGCCGAATTCGTCTTGCGCCGGTTTATTTCCCTTCATATTGTTCTGCAACGCAGGTCCTTTCAGCGGGCCGGTGTAGCCTCCTTTCAACGCCAGATGATCGATTTCCGACAAATTGCATTTGCCGGCCCCGTAACCCCCTCCGCTCTTGTTAAACCGTGCGGATTGGTTATCCAGGAAAAAAAGTGTGTAAGTGTAACTTTCTTTGTGGAACAGCATCACAAATTTACTCTACATGACAGAGAAAACCTGTCATGCGTGGCTTGTAATCAAAAACACATACGAAAAGAGGACTTCGTGGCTGTCTGGCATGACAGGTGTAACTCTGTTGCATGTTCTGCAACACAAATTTACACTATACACAGTTTTTTTCTTGCATATTGGTGCTGGTTGTGCGCCATCTGGGCCGTGGCTTCCCGGTTCTGCAGAGCGGGGTGCTGCTGGTTCGGTGGATGCAGATGAAGATGCTGCTGCTGATGGTAGTTGTTGTAATGGCCCCCGTTGTAGGAGGAACAAGGGCCGTCTTTGAATGAAAAGTTATTTCCGTAGTCCCCGTGGTTCATAGCGTTACCCCGATGTTGCTGTTGGAAACTATTATAGTAGTTGTTTTCGTACAATTTCTTCTGCTTTTTATCTTCCGTCGGGGAAATGTAAAGCCGGCTGTGGTCCACCTTGTGGGGCTTCCGTGCAGATTTCGGCTCTCCGTCATCCCCCGAAGATGCGGGAGTAGAGGACGCGGCCTTGGGTTCCGGCGAAAGTAGGCTGACATCTTCGGCGCCATCCGGTCCTTCCGCCCCAAGGGTCGTGGTGCTCTTGCTGTGCAGCGGGGTTCTTGTGGCCGCCACATCAGTGGCGGTTTGCTCACCAGCAGAGGCAGGTTCTTGCTCGGTCGAGGTTGCAGCTCCCTGCTCTTGCACTGCCGTCGTCTGCGCTTGATCTTCTTGACTCTGCTTTGCTGCAGGAGCCTCCACCTCAGGAACGGCTGGTGTCGAGATTTTTTTCATCGTTTAAAATGTTGTAAAAACATCAAAGCATCACTAGTATTCACAAGATAAATTTTTTTCAGTGCACATGATGATAGATCAAGAACATAAATTGCCGCAGAACTGTACTGTGTCTTTTATGCTAGTCCCTGCAGACACAAGACTACATCGCAGATTTTTTTATACAATGCAGACGATACTGAAGAATAAGTTGCATATTACCTTGTTCTCCCGACGAACTCGAATTGTTACCCTCGCTTTGCTCCTGTCCTGGGCCGGTACCAGCGTAAGCACCCACCTGGTGCCTCGCTTGCAGCTCGTTATCGTTGCGGCCTGATGTTGTGCATGGAAAATAACAAGTAGAAACAGTCCCTAGATAGAAGAAGTCCTTGTGAATGTGAAGTGATTGTGATAATATCTTGCATGACAAACCTTAGTTTTCCGAGCGATATCAGCATTACAAATCAATACAGTTTTATTAAATTTCTACCCGAGTCATCCGAACTCGGAGATTGGAACTGGTCGAGCAGATGAAAGTACGCTATGACAGTGCACAACCCTTCCTCCTCATTTGTATTGCATGAACAGCAATACAGGCATGCATCAGCAAAAGTGCCGGCTTTGCATGACAAATTTAGACTGGATTATAGTGCTACTTGGGCTACCAGAACTTGTCATGCAAACAGTGCCAAGAGGCAAAGTGTGGACTGGGTATTCTGCATGACAAATGAGAAGGAGGGGGCGATGTGCACCTTCATATACGCTATCGAATTCATATTAATCGCGTTGTAGTCCGCCTTGTGCCCCGAGGAAGTAGTGGTCTCGCGTTGGCGGCCGGTGACTCGGGTCGAAAGACCGCCTCCTGCGGACGCAGCCGCAGCCGCCGGAGCCGCAGCGGGGACCAGGTGCCGCGAAAGTTGCGACGTCGAGCCGGTCGTGGTCATATTTATGCATTGCAAAAGTTAAAGCATCGTACTCGTACTACTTGCAGTTATGCATTACAAATCTACAAGTTGCTAAGGTAAATCAGCATTACAAATTTAATTTGTAATGCGATTTGTACTAGGTCGATACTTTTGCACTGGATAATATTTCCGTTGGAACAATGATGCATCATCTTCCCATGATGGTTGATCCCTTTCCCGATGCCTTTCTTGCCATTGCCGTGCTGGGTCATTGTACCAGAAGAATGGTTAGTACCATTGTTGTTCGCAAAAGAAGGAGCTCCTGCATTCATCCCGGCACCATGGTAGTTATTGTGCTGTTGTTGCCACGAGCCTCCTCGGTTGTAATGCGCCGCAGGCCGTGCTGCGGGCTGCGCCGGCTGCGGTTTTCCGTTGGACATCTTTCCCGCGCCCTTCTTTCCACCGTGGGGTGCAACGTGGATGCGGGCCATGGTACTGCCATTGCCGCCGGGGGAGAGGACATGAGTTGTTGTTTTGGTTGAACAATTCTGATTCATCTTCTTCTCGTTTTTGTTCCGGTTGCTTGTACTCAAGTTCCCATCGAGAAGAAGTACCTTAGCGTGACGACCCGAACCAGGATTGGTGTGGAGGTCCTATCAACTGCAAAAATGTCTGGGTCAGGAAGGATGCGAACTTGTGATGCTAACTTTGGACTTTAAAAAAATGTGTGTTGCATGACCAGCAAGAGGAGTCTAGTTTGTGTCACGCGGGGAGGGCGTTTGTCATGCGGGGTAGGCATCAGGAAGCCCTCTAAAAATCTGTGATGCTAGGCCGTGCATTACCGACATCCTGGGTCATGCAAAATATGCATGACGAGTCTCAGAATCTTCCAGACCCAGACATTTTTGCATTTGATAGGTCCGCCGGCGGGACGATCTTCGCGATGGGAATCGTCGCGAGGGACTTAGTATCGCAAGAAAAAACTGTTTCACTGTGAACCTGTGATGCAGAGAACGAAACACCAAAGTGTCTGTCTTGCTACACCTGCAACACAATGGATTTTTAAGTGTGTTTTCCGTTGGGAAACACGCATGGCAAATCTTCTGTGTCATGTGTAACAAACTTGTGATGCAGATCTCGCAAAACCATCACAGTGAAACAGTTTTTTCTTGGGATACTTAGGCGTGGCCGAAGTAGAGCCTGCACCTCCTGTCGCGCTTTGCTCGTTCTCACTACCAGTGGAGTCCCGCATGCTTTGCCGGTCCTTGCGCGGGGTAGTACGGTCCACGACGGTTATCGCAAGAAAAAAGTGTCATACAGTTACACATATGTAGTTGTAACTTCAGCAACACAAACTTGCTCTGCGTGACGGACAAAACTTGCAATGCAGAAATCCTAAGAGAATAAAACACGTATGAAAGGCGACTCGCAAGCCTTTCCGGCATGACAGAGGTTGCCTGTCTTGCGAGTTATGCATCACAGTGTGTACTAGCTGTAACACTTTTTTCTCTGCATAGCGGTCCATTCGTTGCTATCGTCTTTTTCGTGCCGGATTGAAGTGACAGACGTCGGGAGATATCGCAAGAAAAAACTGTTTCACTGTGAACTTGTGATGCAGAAAATGGAACACAAAACTCTTTGTCTTGCTACACCTGCAAGGCATTGGATTTTCAAGCGTGTTTTCCCCTATGGGAAATGCGCGCATGACAAATTTTCAGTGTCATGTGTAGCAAACTTGTGATGCAGATCCTGCAAAGTCATCACAGTGAAACAGTTTTTTCGTGGGATAGGAGACGAAGATGAGCTACACCTGACGAGAGGATTGGAACTTATCCTGTGCAAAAGTATCGTACTCGTATAAATGCAGGTCTTGCATTACAAATTTCTTTGTCAAGGCAAATCAGCATTACAAATTTTATTTCTCATGCTGAGAAAATTTGTAATGCATTTATACGAGTACGATACTTTTGCAGTTCATAGAACTGCGTTTAGTGCAATGCGCACGCTCTTCGTGATTTGGTATTGAGCACCAGCGGATGAAGATCATACATTATCAATTGCAATGTAAAATCAAAATAGAAGTTTAGGTAGATCACTGTAGCCGGAGCGAACTGCATTATACAAGGAAATCAATTGCTCTAGAAGCGTGATAATATGCATTTGTAATTGTAAGACCAAAAAGAAAAGTGTGCTCCTACAATGTCGCTTTCAATACATCCAGACTTTCCGGCCACAGCGATCACCGGACTGTCATCGTCGTTTTCTCCTTGACCGAGCGTTCTCGCCTTGCCACAGCCATTCGCATGGTCTGTTCCGTCGGTCATCAACATGGAGTCTTCCGCACCTTAGATTTTTTCGTGAAATGTTGAGATGATCCCGTTGCAAAAAAGAAGAACCTATTTTGTGTGGCAAAAAAGCCTTGCAGCTTCATCAACAGAACCGTAAAGCAGCAACATCCGTATCAGATGAATAGTACGCATGATAAAAACGACTACGGATTTACACTTCCTACCATTAGCCGGCGTCTGAAATTCCATTTTCCCGGATGGATCGGGTTCGGGGCTGAATGTGCGGTCAATGGTGGGAAGCTGCGCCGAAGGCTTCGCGATCGTGTCAGCGTGCTTCGCTGTGGAGGGCGACTCAAAGAACCTAGTAGTGGTGGATCTGGATGTTGTATAATAAATGATAATGTGAATAAATCAGCAACACAAATTCTAAACCATTTTGTCATGCATATCCCGATTCCTCCATTATCAACATTACGAATACAGAGCGTCCTCCCCGGCGCCAGTCGCAGCTGTCGCGGCCCGAGCTGATTGCTCCCCAACGCTTTCCCGATCGCTATGCATTGCAAATATGTCTTGGTCTGAAAACTTGTGATGCAAGGAAGGGAATAGTGAAAACACTGTAATGCGTTGCCCAGCGTGACAAGTTTTGCCGTGGTTCTGAGTTGCGTACTCCGCATGAGAAACTGGGTTTTTGCATGACAGGCAAGAGGACCTCTTGGTGGCCACGCAATACAGAGTGCAGAGACATGCCAGACTGACATGACAAATCTCGCAATCTTCCAGACCCAGACATATTTGCATTTGATAATCGCTTTCAATGTACCAAATCGGCTTGAAAGATTGTTTGGAGCACGCACGTATGCATTGCAAAAGGGTCGAATTTGTACTAGTTGCGCTATATGCATTACAAATCTAGTTGCTAAGGTAAATCAGCACGACAAATTCTATTTGTCATGCTTACCGAATTTGTGATGCGATTTCTACTAGTAGCACGATCCTTTTGCAATGCATAGCACGCAGCCGCTGGTGCTCTTCTTCGTTCTCCGATGCGTTGCTGCTTCCTTCTTCATCATCCTCGGACGAACTATACGCCTTTTTGTCCGCCAAAGCCAACTCCATGTTCAAAATCTCGTCTCGGGCAGACACAGAGGTGGTGCGCTTTATGGAGTTCTCAAATGTTACTTTCTCAACTGGTGTTACATGAATTTGTAATACAAGAACGGCAAAAGTGAGAGGGGGAAAATTGCTTCTTTTGCATTACAAGTTCTGCACACATTTAGGTGCTGTTTAGCCCTTCGAAAATTTGTCATGCGAAGCAGCTTTCTCGTGTGGAACTTGATGGTAGTTCTGCATGACAAAGTCATGTAACAATTGAGAATGTAACAGTTGAGAACGCCATACGCTTGAGAGCAGAGGTCGTGTCGTGGTTCGCCGCAGCTGCAGGGGTCTTCGCAGAGGTCGCGGAGTTCTTCGGCACGCTGGTGCTATGATTCTGTGTACTGTATCAAGTGCAAAAATGTCTGGGTCTGGAAGAATGCATGTTTGTCATGCTTGTCTGGCATGAGCATGACTCTTAAATCTGTCATGCAGGCTACCCAAGGGCTCCATTTTTCTTTGATGCAGAAACACAGTTTGTCATGCAGAATGGGCAACACCTAGAAGCTCAGAAACTTGTCATGCTAAGACAGCACTTGTGGCCTCATCATGAGACGCCACCCAACATCACAAGTTTCCAGACCCAGACATTTTTACATTTGATATACTGTCGTTCAAAGCCAGCGCCGCCTGCTCTTGTTCCATCATCTGCAGCTTCTTCTTCTCTTCCGCTTTTTTCCGCACCAGCCGCTTCTTCCGGTTTTTCTCGTAGTTTTTCGATTTCCCGGTCTGGGAATTGGGTGCATTTTGCAGGAGCTCAGAAGAAGTTGCACGAGCATCACCTGCGGCATTTTCTGATGCAGTGCCACCAGTGGTAGTAGGGCCCGGACCGCCCAAATAGCTTGAAATTATGAAGCCGGGATGATGATGAAAATAATTTTTTTTCTTCACTTTTTCGAAAGAACTGGCCAGAGTGATTTCATTTTTTCCCTGCTTCGGCGACTGGACATTCACATTGTTCATGACCTTCCCCGGCGCGGCCGCATCATGATCGTCCTCGGGCAGGGAAGAAGTTTTCGTTTTCAACACGTTGCTCACAGTGGTGTTCTTTTCCTCCTCTTCAACCACAGCGAGAAATTTCTCGTTCAAATCTTCGCAGATCGAAGAAGAAGTGGAGACCACGACGGCTCCGCGATCATAGTCAGCATCCTGGTCCAGTTTCTTCCACGGACAGTAGTTGGGGTCGTTCTTGTTCTTCTGGGGCGAGTTGCTTTTCGGCAGGGGCACCGGCAGTTTGCAGAATCGGGGTGATTCTGCTGGTTGCCGTAACATATTTTTTGCTGTGCCACCAGCAGCTCCAGTGCCGCCGCCGGGGATAGAAGGAGAAAGATTCTCCTTGTTCACATAATTTTTTCCAGCAGCGCTGGTACCATTGCTCGTTGTTCCGCCGCCGGACTTGGCGGCCGTGGTGGTCCCATCGAGAAGCTTCGGCCACTCGTGGTCCACCTTCTTGGACTGCTGTTTTTGGCAGGTGATAACTTTGCTCATCACGCCAGACATCTTCGTGGCTTTTGGAGTTAGACAAAAGAAACGATGGAGATGGTAGATATAGTAGAATATTAAGAGTGTTTGATGTATTGCGGCACGTTGTTGTAAGTAACAACGCCCGAGAAGTTTGTATTTGAATAAAATAAAGTTTGAGGAACTTCTTGAAACTGTTACACTTACTTCACGAGGTTTCGGTCTTACCACGAGGAGACGTAGCACCACCGAAACTTCTTAGGTGTAATATCAAAGCCTTTAGAAAATCCCAGGGGAATACTTAGCAATACTTTGGAGACCCTAGAGGGGGAGAAATTGTAAATTCTGTACTTGTACTATTTATAAAGAAAGAAATATAAAAAAATACCCCGGGGATGTTACTTGATGATAAGGAGCGACTGAAACAAAACACTCTAAAAGAACAAACTTTGGAGAACCAGCAAACGGCGAATAAACCAGGCTCTCATACAAGAACAGTTTTACAGTACCGACGAGCTTGATAAACAATTTTTTTATTCCAAGAACAAAGTAGAGAAATGGTGCTCAAGCTCGGCGATTTCGAGAAAAAAATCGGAGAAACTCGGAGTAGAAAAGAACTATTTAATACAGCTGCACCACGATATGTTGAAACTTTAATATGGAAAAGATCTAAGTCTTTCAATTCTGGAATTCAAATGCTGTTGGTACTATGAAGAACAGAAGAACGAAAGAAGTAAAAGTGATGGATAAGTTTGTCACGTGTTTAATTTTTTTTCCCGCTACTACGTTGCTATTTGACTAGGACTAGCGCCTATTTTCGAAGATACGTGCTTTACTTCTATGTGAGGAGATGGTGGAAAAAAAACAGAGTACACTCCGGAAGATGATGTTGAAAATAGCACGGACGAAGAAATCCTTCCCGGAAAGGAAAAGATCCTTTGTTTTGGAGCGCGAAGTATCGACAACGGCCGAGTTAGGCAGATACTTCTTTTTCTTGTTTGGTACAACTATGCGTAAGTTTTCTTTCACCTCTCCGAGTTAGTGTTGTGCTACTAGACCGTCTGAATAAAGCTAGTGCTTTTTATTTAGAAGGACAGTTGCTGAAGTTTTTTGTTTTCAAGGATTCTAGCGAATCAGCTCGTATCCTGTTTTTTCCTGTGGTCATGGGTTTGTTGATGATTCAATAACAACTGGCGGAGCGGTGTAGTATGCATCTACATCTTTAACTGTGAAGACGTTCTTGCTGCACGTCAAGTACCAAAATCTGTATACAAACTACAACTTCAGTGTGGTTCGTGCGACAGTAGCAAAGAGAAAAACTCAAGCTCAATTATACGCGAGAGATAGAAGAGCAAGCTAATGTGAAATAAACACGAGCATTTGGGTGCAATTTAATCAACGTACCGGATCTTCTGTCCTCCTCGTGCATGGAACAGGAAGCGGAAAAAAGAGATCTTGAGTCTTCGGCACCATCACACAAATCCTTCTTGGGCAAGAAACTGTTCAACCTTTCCAACTACACACGCGTGGTCGTCCTGAATACGGACTACAGCAGCTTTTTTTTCAGCGCTCAAGTTAGTAGCACAGCTAATACACAGCATCTTCACGACACATCGGTCGGAAAAAAAACAGTGGATTTGATGAACACGACGAGGGAAGTGCAATTGTGTAAAATAGCAGTGCCTGAGCCTCCTCAGTCAGCTAGACGCCGTGGCTCTATACCGAGCAGCGAGCCCCTGCACGACTCGGTGAACAAGGTCACTCAGCGACGAGGTCTGCAGCATCGCCGGTATACATTCATTCACGTTTCTACAAGTACGTTTACTTACAAAACTTTCTTCACGCGCTTCTTTATCTCCAGCTAGTTTCATTTTTTCGAAACTGTTTTTGTTGAAAAATCTGGAAGATTTTTTGTTCTTTGCTTTCTGTCGTGCTGTATCAGCTGTAAAAATGTCTGGGTCTGGAAGAATCCAACTTGTCATGCTGATTTTGGATTCGAAAAAAATCTGTATTGCATGAGCAGCAAAGAGAGTCCAAATTTTGCAGCACGGAAAGAGCATTTGTCATGCGGAATAGGCTTCAGGAAGCCCTCTAAAAATCTGTGATGCTAGGGCATGCATCACAGGCTTGAGGAGTCGTGCAAAATGTGCATGACAAACCTGGCAATCTTCCAGACCCAGACATTTTTACAGTTAATATGCTGAAAAAACATTCAACATCTTTTCGGTGTTGTCGTAACTATAACCACCCGCGCAGGGATATAGGAGTGTCAGGATTGAAATCGTCAAAGTTGAAATAGTTTGTTATGCTAAACCGACCGAAACCACTACACAACCTGTAAGGGCACCGAACCGCACGTGGTTCGGCCACCAGGTCGCGGAGTCAGGCGGACCGAAGCCATCACCATCATCCCCGGGCACATCCAACTACTTACGCTGCCTTTTCCTTACTTTCGCACACAGTCCTCACTTCGCCAACATGCGTGAAATGCAAGGCAGACAGTGCCTGTCTTGCAGAGTAGGCAAGGGAGGCAGATTGTAAGCCTTTTTCGGTGTAGAAGTAGAGCTGCTGAAGTAGCATGACAAAAGGCGTCTTCCTTACCCAACCAGCATTACAGACTGGATTTCGGCTCTACTCAAATTTGACATGCGCCGCTTAGAAATTGGGCTTCCAACTGGTATCGATTTTATGTATTACAAGTTATTCCAACTTTGTCGATTTCAATCCTGACGCTTCCATAAGGGAGAAAATAAATCCACTTCCCCTGCTGCTTATCTTCGTCCATTAGAATCAATTTGACTGTAGTGTGAAATAAGTGAAAAAGAGTTAGATAATTGTGTTTGTGTTTGTGATCATCTATTTGGATTTGTTCACCAGTGTTAATAAACTATCACCCAATAATATTCTCAGTGTCGTAGTTCCAGAAGTATCGTCAGATGTGTTGTAGTAGAAGCTGGACAGACCCATCTTGGTTTCTCGTCTCGTGAGGTCAACTGCCGTGAGAGAGTGACGGTTGTCGTGCATTTGAGCATTACAAAAGTTTTCTCATGCGCACGACTCACAGGTTACTCTCCCCGCTGGTGACGCTCATCTTCACACCAGCGTTTCCACCAGGTCCTTTGCCGCCACAACGCAGCTCAGCTTCAGACTACTCCCTGCTACCATCGAGAGATAATTTCTCGCTTCGTTTACGTCCTTCATGAAGAGACAGAGGAGGCCGAGACAGTACCTTTGGGTAGAGCATCCGTTTTTGCAGGACAAAAATGATTCAGATACACGTTTTCCTGGCATGCCAAAAATGATTAGATTCACATACGCGTTTGTAGCATGACAACAAAACCCAAACAATTGAAAAGAACAAAGACTAGGTATTACTGTGCTTCCAATATCCCTTTCGCCCACATGGTATGCACTGCAAAAGTATCACACTCGTATAAATGCATTACAAATTTCTTCAGCATGAGAAATAAAATTTGTAATGCGGATTTTACTTGAGAAAGAAATTTGTAATGCATGATTGCAATACGAGTACGATACTTTTGCACAGGATACATGGCGTCACTTTCCTCCGCCTGCTTCTTTGTCCTGTAGTCCTCTATGTGCTTCACTATTTCAAACACCTCCTCCGTCTATGCAGTACAAATATATCTGGGTCTGGAAGATTGCCAGGTTTGTCATGCATTTTTGCATGACCCATGGTGTCTGTAATGCATCATCTAGCATCACAGATTTGCAGAGATGGGCTTCCTGATGGCTATTTCGCATGAGAAATGCCCTCGTCTCGGCGTAGCACAAGAAACCGGACTCCTGTTACTGGTCATGCAATACAGATTTTTTTACAATCCAAAGACAGCGTCACAAGTTGCATCCTTCCAGACCCAGACACATTTGCATTTGATACTGCTTCTACTGCTGTTATTTGGTCCACCGACGACTCGCCGTTTTCTCCTACTGGTTGACTGGAGCTAGAACTTGCGCCAGCACCACCACCGCCACTACTACTACTCGACGTCGGACTAGTTTTTTCGAAATGGCCAATCACGTTGGAGACCACTTTCGAGTAGAACGCCTCGGCCCGATCCTGCTTTTTCTGATACGACTGAAAAACTCGGCCCATGTGGAAGTAACTTGGCGCTGTCCTGACGTGGTCGGGGCCGTGTTCCTGGCACGAGTAGTAAATGTCCACAGCGAAGGCTTGGATGGACTCTTGGTACCTGGGATCAAATTTCAAATAGATAAATGCAGAAGTGAACAAATTGCCGCATGGATAGTACAAACGTATGCTTTTACAGCATTTGGATTTTCATTTTTGTGTAGTCATTACCGTTCCGATTCTGCATGACAAACACCCACACGTTTTTTTACCTTTGCTGCGCTGCGTAAAGTCGACCGAAATTCCTCTGAAGATGTGACATCAACTTTGATTCACCGCCCTCCCTTATCCTGTGCAAAAGTATCGCACTCGTACCGTAGTAATCGCAATCTTGCATGACAAATCTCTCTCTCAAGGTAATTCACCATCACAAATTCCATTTGTCATGCTGGGCTCATTTGTATATGCAATTTGTAGAACTTATACGATGCTTTTGCAATGCGTATCCTTGAGCAAGTTCCAGTTCGCTAGTGAAAGGAACTCCTCTGCTACCTTCAGCTTCCTCAATCCGAGATTGGCTTCCTGTATTATCATATTTTGTGATGTATGTTTTTGCATGACAAATTTCGTTTTCGACTTTATTGCGTATAAAATTTTTGTCATGCGCATCTCGCATTAAACGGTGATGCCTAAACATAGATTTCAGCATCACAAACAAACTAATACTGCCAAAAGCAGGTAGCTGGCGACAAGCTCCACGGACTCGGAACCATAAACCTCTATTGCGAACTTATGCTGCGCAAAAGTATCGCAACACTCGCACTTATTGCAGTCATGCATTACAAATTTTTTTTCTAAGCTAAATCCGCATGACAAATTTCATTTCTCATGCTGAGGAACTTTGTATATGCATTTATACGAGTACGATACTTTTGCACAGGATAGAACTTCAACCCCTGCAATGCGCCGGGCACCGCCAGGTCGTATTTACCTGAGGGGTTTTGGGGGTGTTGGGATCTATGCATCGCAAGTCTTCATCAACCTCTACCTCGTTGTGGCATGATAATGATTCTGTTTCTGTCATGCAAGAAAAACAATAGGTGCGTCGTCCAGCAAACATCAAAACTTGAGTACTACCTTGCACCAAGAACTTCTGCGCTGTTTCCGTGCAGAGTTCTAGCAGCTCCTTTTTTACGGCTTTCAGTTCCTCTGCTTTCTTCTCTCCTTGATCCCCTTTGTCTGCCTTGATGTAGACGAGATCTGATTTGTATGTTGGTCGCTGCGTGGGAAAGTTTGTAATGCGAAATCCACATTGGAAAATCCATTTGTCATCCTGATGCACCGAGCAAAGTAACTTTGATTTGTACCTTGTGCGATGAGTGATTTTATCCCTCGCCAGTCGATGTCGAAGTTGGTTATGGAGTTGGAAAATCAAAATTTGGTAAAAGCTTGTTGAGAAATAAAGGATTTCTAATTTTCTGTTGCTATCTGCGCAATACACAAACTCCTGTCATCCAAAACCAGCATGACAAACACGATTAAAATTCCACCAGTTCGTCCCTGTCACAAACAACTACAGCAAATTTTCCAATCCCATAGGCTCGTAGGAACAGTAATACGCAGGGCACTCCGTTGCCATCAGTTTCCCTGGTTTTCCGCATATTTCGCAGTCGTACTTCGCCTATCAAATGTAAAAATGTCTGGGTCTGGAAGAGTCACGCTGTTTTTGCATGACACAGAAGGTCTGGCATGGAAGCTCTAGCATCACAGGTTTCGAGAACCTTCCGCAATGCCGAATCCGCATGACAAGTCCCCTACTTTGCAGACAAAAAGTGGGGGCTTTTGCTACGTATGCATGAGAGACTTTTCTGTGTTCTGAAATACGCATTACAAGTTGCATTCTTCCAGACCCAGACATTTTTACATTTGATATCGCCCCTTTGGGTCGTGACAGCTGGTTTATTGGCAGCACCAAGTCGCTATCCTGTGCAAAAGCATCGTACTCGTATAAATGCATTACAAATTTCCTCAGCATGAGAAATAAAATTTGTATATGCAGTTTTACCTTAAGAGCAAGATTTGTAATGCAAGACTTGCATTTATACGAGTACGATACTTTTGCACTGGATAATCGCTTCTCGGTACGTACTGCACCGAGTGCTGGCCTTTCGGAGACTGCGACATAATGGCCGGCGCGAGGGGATGTTGTCTTGCCTCTAGTCCCCGTTAGTATTGCCGTCCTGCGGGACTGATTCTGATTCTCCCCTGCAAAAACGAGGGGTTCGCTTCGACGAGCTCTGATTCGTTTCGTTTGGTGACTGCTTCCTAGGCGTTCTATTTCCGGCCTGGTTCAAAGAAACGCCGGGAGTGGTCCCGCAAGGTCGTGTGGATCATGGTCCCGGGGCGTCGTTAAAGGCGGCATAGGAGTGAGACGGGATGAACAGAGTTTTTTTCAACAGAATCAGGTGTATTTTCCCTCGTCGAGTACAGAAGTAACACCAGCTCTACTTTTCACTTACCCCAATTTCTTCTCAGATATTTTTTTTCCGAAGTAGGCAGGCCAACGTTGAAGCCGGTTCCCGCACAAACACGAGGGGTTTCCCGGTCCTATAGATTTTTCGTTTCGCCATGTCAACCTAGAAATTCAATTACAACAACCCATATTGCTTTACTATCTCAATTCATGGTCGACACACGACTCTGTCGCAAATGATCATCCCGAGGCGTCTCTCCTGCACAGCTCTCATCGCTCTCGCTGGCCCACCCACGTTGGTGGGAATGCGCATTACTCATGCCGATCTGTACACAGTACACAGATTATGCCTATGACGCGTGGTTGTAGATTCTCTCATGCTCCTACCTACTCAGAAGCGAAAAGCACACCACGAGCAACACGCGTGTCTCGTTCCGCAGCCTCCATCGTGGCAAGAAAATTCTACAACTGCCTGCTGTATGAAACAAGGGCCTCGCGCGCGGGGCTTCACAAGAGACAATATCTCACCCTCATCTTCGGCAGGCCGTGAGATGTAAGTAGTGGAAGCCTCCAAGGTAACAGGCCGCCCATCCATGCAGACAAGCTGACACGCGGATGCGCTCGACAGTGCTTATCTGGGAAAGGGCGCCAGGCCACAACCAACGGGACACGGCAACCGGGGCTGGGAGGTCGCGACGACCCACGCCGGCTGCTTCGATTCGACACTAAGGGCATTCGCACGGGACGCAGGCTGCGCAGCGAGCCAACCGGGCGAAGAAACGGCGCCGGTGGCTGCCTGGCTGAATTCACTGCGCCGCAACAGTCCCACCGCGCGGGCAGCCGCCCGCCAATACCTTGGCGGCTGGGCCGGTAGCTAACGAGGTGCCCGCGCGGCGGCCACAACGGGGGGGGGGGCCAAACCAGCGAGGCAACAGCAGCAGAAGCGAAACCAACGCGCGGAACGCGCAGAGGCCTGCTCTGCGCGTGTCCTGCGGCGCCCGAAAAGGCGGGCCCTGCGTCTGGTGGCGCCAAGGTATTCGCATTTCGCGCGTGCCAGCCTGATACACATCTCCGCGGGCACTGTTGGAATTGGTGGCGTGGCCGAGCTACTGTCGGAGTTGGCCCGTCGATTCCATGCGGCCGGCCCGGTGCGCGCCCTACTAAGCTGCCCGCGGCAAAATCGGGCAGCCCAAGCGCCAGCGCTTGTGCCGCTGCCGTCCCTCCGCCCTCGGCTATCTTAAGGCTGCGCCATGCACGAGAGCAGCGGGCGCAACTAGTGACGAGGAACGCACTGACCAAAATTGGCAGAGACAAAGCCGCTTCATCAAAGACCGAAAAATTTCTTTTCCTGTTCAAAAATCCTCTCGATCTCACTCAAAATCTCTGTTTTCCCGCTCAAAGTTCCACGAAAACTACATTAAGCCTCGTAAGCAAAATCCCTCCTCCACAATGTTTTCCTCCGCCAGGAGAAATACTTACTGACGCGCCGCAATGAACAGTGTTCCTCCTCGATTTTCTTCAATCTTGATCTTCTGATTTGTAGTTGTTTCACTGCAGCTTCTACTGCCCCTTGTCTGAGGCTGCAATAGAGTCGACAAACCATCAAAACTGATCTTCATCAAGACAGCTTCAACAGCAACGTTACTATCCCTTGGTCCCTCACACCATAGTCATTCAACAATTTCTCATCCTCCAGCTGCCTTCCCGCGCACAACAACCGCTGATCACTTTTCGCGATCCTCTCCACCGCTTCAATTCTTTCCTTCAAATTCACAACCGTCGTGGTCGCTGGGTTCAAATTTTCCACGGGAATTTTCTTCCCGGTGAGCGTCTGGACGACCACGGTGATGGAGCCGGAGAACTGCGGGGATGACGGGTTATGCTTGCTTCCTTTGTTCTTCCCCTTGTTCGTCCCTCCTGGAGGCGGCGGGGAGTTAATATTTACCGCCGGGTTTGGTGGTGGCACAGCGGTACCGGGAGGGGGGAAGTTCACGGTAGGGGCAGGCTGCGCTGTTGTTGGCCCGCCAGGCGCAGAGTTTCTGTTTACAGGAACACCAAGTACGATTTGAGAGGAGCTCGGTCCCGCTGCAGGGTCGTGCTGGTCGGCGGATTTGTAGCTCTTCGTTGGGGGCGGACTGGGATGTTTACGTTTAGATACGTGGTAGAAGGCAATTGATATTGTTCTTCATCACAGGACGACACTGTGGGACTGACGCTAGCATGACCATGAAATGAGACTTCAACAAAAAATCGTGTTTGTTCTTGCGGATAGCTATGAGAAGATCAAGATAGGTGAAAGACAAAGATGGATTGCACTTTATGCATGACAAACAGCCACGTCCTATACCTGTCCACGCTCCCGGTCGAGCTTCTCCTCCCGTGGTTAAATCCTCCTCCCGGATAGGCGTTTTCCCCTCCCCCGGCCGCCGCCACCCCCGGGTGCCGTATCGGTCGAACTTTGTAGGGCGGTGTTTTCGTGTTGGTTTGCGTGTTCAGGGTGAAATCAATCGTGTAGGTTTGTCCCCTGGCTCTTATGGCGTTCTCAAACGTTACATTCTCAACTGTTACATGCTTTGTAATGCAAAATGAGCATCAACGTCCACATGGTGAAGCTACTGCGCATGACAAATTTTGAAACGGCTAAACACCATGGAAATCTGTGCCGAATTTGTAATGCAAGAGTTGCAAGATCCGGCCTTTCCCTGTTGCCATTCTTGCGTCACAAATTCACGCAACAGTTGAGAATGTAACAATTGAGAATCCCATAGCTCTCAGCTCCACCGTCGGTTTCCCGGCATCGTAAGCTTCCTGAATAACCTGGTGCTCGCGGTCACGGTTTTGAAAGGAAATAAAAACAACGCACGGGGGGGTTTGGAAGTAATTTCAAGACTGTGGCGGCTCAAGAAGCCCGCGCCCTCTGCAGGTTTTCCGGTGAGCCTTCTGCACAACCCACTACATACATTTCAGCATCGGCGATGGTTGTTGTGTTCTTGCTGATCATTACCTTTTGGTTTCATTCGTGACCACCAGCAACGCAACCATCGATCATGCGTAGTTTTTATCAATACCATAATGAGAATTCCTTCCACTGTCCGGCAAGTTTCACCTGCCATCGCCCTCGTGCACCGCTAGGAGAGGCCATGGGTTCGCGAGTGAAAGAAAAACTTCGAGCCGGATAGTGCCTGGACTGTTCTTGCCGCAGTTGTAGCTACGACTGCACTGGCACTCCGTGGCGCAATTGTTACGTCCTATGCGCGTTTTAGCCGTCGTGCCTCGCCAGGCACGACAATGAACCTCCACTCACCTCTGTGTGATGCGGAACAGAACAAGAGCACACGAGGCTGCACACCAAAGAAGAAACGGGGCGGGGACTGGCGACCGGGAGTGATGGATTACGGAAGAGCACGCCCTACATATTGGCGTTGCGTCGCGGTTTTTTCATTATTTCTTTTGCGGCTTGCCGCGGCGCAACGCGTCCGCGCATGGGCGAGCGCCCGCCCGCGCGCGACGGGCGGCGGCGGCCTGAGGGCGGCCAAGCGGGCCTGCCTTCTGCCCCCCTATATATGACAATAGACCGGGCCGTCTTCGGGCGCGGCATTCGTCACACACTCGCCGGCCCGCCGGGGCGCAAGGCGGCCGCGAAAAACCACAGTCAGGGGGCACGCAGTCAGCCGAGCCGGCATAACTAAGTCGCCGGAAGGCTGGCCGGCTAGCGGGAGAGGGGCGGGGCAAAAGAGCCACGGCCCGGGCGCCACCAAAACGAGGGGGCGCGCGCCCCATACTTAGGGCGCCGCCGCGCGGCCGCGCGCTCGCAAAGGCGCGCGGCAGTTCGTGCGCGAGGGGGCAAATGGCGCGCGCCGGCCCGCTCTAACTCCAGAATGTACCCCGAGAGGAGCGGCAACAATCTGCATCGACTGCGCTGGTGGGATCTGGGTTGCCTTCCAGCGTCGTGGCGCAAGTCTTCTGCGCTCAGGAGCACAGCAGTGGGCGCACCACGGGCCCCCTACGAACGCGAGGAACCCCAAGGCCATGGGAACAGCCAGAGCCGCCCGCCCCCCTTTCGGCCGGCGCAAAGAACCGGGCAAACGGGTGACCGAACGCACAAAACCGCGGCGGCACCCTGGCAAACCTACACGCCTGCGCGCCGCTGCTCGTCCTGCTGTATAATCATCGTGATCAGATCTCGCCGAAGGCGGTGGCGCAACTCCACAGACCAAAAGAGGAAACGTCAAACGAACCTCGCCTGCTTCCAAAGAAAGACATAGCCAATATCGCACTCTCCGGAACGCCTCTCACGCTCACTGCCGGGTAGCTGACACGCCTTTTCTCGGACAACACTCGCCGGGTAGCTGGTCAAGTCCGCACGTAGCGTCTGATTTTGGACTGACAATTAAGAGTAAGAAGGTGATGAGTGTCAGAAACGTTCTCTGCTCGTCACGGTCGTAGTATGGAAGCGAGTGAAGCTCCTTGATGTCTTTTACTTTTTCGTCTTCGGTATTCGGAGAATCCGAATGAAGGTTGGTCGGATCTAGGTTCACGAGTCTGAAAGCTCGAGTACATGTCGCGTTTGGAAAACGCGAGAAATCCAGGAGCAGTCGTCATTGCAGATACAAAGGCAAAACCGAATTTTTGGTACATAGAAACTATTAACAGGAGCACAGAGAAATATCACTTTCGATTTTTACAGAATACAGAAACACTTTTGCTTGCTTTGCTCATTTCAATTTAGTGTAAAACTGGGACTAGAGAGGGACGAAGACGTTGATTGTACAAAAATCCTAGTAGTAGAAGATGACAGGAAACCATCTAAATATATGTAAAACAGAAGCCCTGCTTTTTCTCGTTTATCTCCCTCCATTGTAAGCGACAATCACAATTTTAATCATTTTTTCTTCCGTACCAGTACGTAGGTGCATTTAGGTAAATTGTACACGTGCAAAAAACCTTCGCAGAAACATATTAAGAACTTCTACGGACCCTGATAGCCTCCTCCTTAACCACTCTCAGGAGCTCCACGCCAACCCCTCCACTCCTCTACAACGAGTCCTCGTCCTCCGCCTTGCACGGCAGCACCCTCCGAATCATCGCCAACAACCCAAATCTTCCAGTAGTCCCCGCGACTTGTTTGGCGTTATCATCCCCATCACCACCAGACTTTTGTTCCCCGTCGGTAGTAGAAAACACACTCGCATTTTTGCTCCGATCATCATCATTATTTCCCTTAAGGACTTCCTCTTCCGCAGCCAATTCCTGGCACTTGTTCTCCAAAAACGCCACTAATTCGTCTTTGAACTTCAATTCCTCGCTCTGCATCTTCAATTCCTCCCGTTGGTAGTTGATGATGTTGTCCTTCTCGAAAATCTCATTCTCTATCAAATGCAAAACAATGTCTGGGTCTGGAAACTTGTGATGCTAGTTGAGAAAGACGAGGACGCCTCAATTATCTGGCAAGCATGGCAAGTTCTGGAGGCGCTATAGTCTCGGTTTTTCCGCATGACAAAGTGAGCTTCTGCATAACAGAAAAGTACGGCTACTTTTGGGTAATGTGCATGACAGACTTGAGAGTGATGTCAGACAAGCATGACAAACAAGTTCGATTCTTCCAGACCCAGACATATTTATTGCATTTGATATTCTCCAACAGTTCACATTTCTCCTTCCACCGCAGAACTTCGGTCAGGTTGTCTTCAGAGGAGTAGACAGCCGGGTCGCGTGAGTTCTGCTGCAGCAGTTCTACTTGGGGTCCTTCAGAATCAGATTCATCGTCGTCCTGCGCCTCATCTTTCGACTTCGATTTCGAACAAGAAGTTGTAGTGATGACGACCTTGCTCGGGGTAGAACTTATCCACGGGAAATTTCCCGTAGGTACACGTGGAAATGCGGTCTCTGCATGAAAAAACTTGGCTCCGATGCTAGTTTAGCATGATAAGTTTTACACTCCCACTCCGAAATGGTGAAATTTGTGATGCATCTTGTACATGTAGGGGAAATTTGTATTGCATAGAACTCAAGGATGAGCTACTAGAACTCGCCATCATTGTCCCCGTGCTGCTTTTGGTCCAGATGAATTTCGTTTCGAAGATGTCCACCACCGGCTGCCAGGATTCGAAAGTGTCAATGTCGACTCCGGTTTAATATCCAAGGAAAAAACATCGCACTCATACTGATTTTTGCAGATATGCATGACAAAGCTGCTTTTCTCGAGGTAAACCAGGATGACAAACTCCATTTTCATGCTGTCAACTACGAATTTGTGATGCAATGTGCACTAAATTATTGTAGAGTGCGACACTTTTGCAATGCATACGGTTTCCTCCTCCTCCGGAATAATTACCGCCAGATTGACCAAGTGATCGTCCTCCAGTGCCGGGGAGACGAACTTGCCGTGAAAGTGGTTCTCCTCCTCCTCCTGTTGGTCTTGGTCTTGCGGGGGCAGGATGGTGTCCAGCATGGTTTTGTTGTTCTCATCCTCTTGCTCCACCATCGCATGTAACTCTTGCGACATTTGCTCCTTGCCCACAATTTCCTTTTCGTCCACCTGCAAATCCGGCTTCTCCACCACGGACAAGTGCTTCGCTTCTCCCCCAGAGAGTTTGTCATGCACGGCGACGAGCCCTGATTCACCAGATTCAGCCGCAGCTGCAACTAAAACTAGTCCCGCTTGTTCCGCGGCTTGTTCAGGTTGATTCCCCGGCGATGTTGGGGTTGGCAAACCCGATGAACCATTTCCAACAGCAACAGCGGGATCGATCGTCTCGACAGGACTAAAGGGTTGGAAAGACGTCGCCGTCGTGGCCATTTCGACGGGAGAAGATGACTGCGAGTTCATCTTCGAAGGTACGCTAGAAAAACTGGCCTGCCGTTTCACGTTCGGGTAGAAAACTGTGGCGCCGTCGATAATGACCGGAGAAGTCGTCTTCGGGGGCTGGAGGTATGATTTAAGGTTGTGTTGATAGATTTTGATTTGTCGGCAGTTGGACATGATTCGAATGTGTCATGCAAGGAAACACAACGCATCCAGTCTATTTCAGCATATATTGCGGGCACCAAATAAAAAAAAAAGCATTTTCAATTGTCGTCTACGTCTGCTGTAAGTACCAAATCCTTCCCGGCCGGTCCGTAGAAGTCATCACCTCCACTTTTTCCACCTAAACCCCGCACCCGCTCTCTCGCGGCCTTCGGTTGGACGTCAAGCTGGTAGAAGTTTCGCTCCGCGTCGAAGCTGAGAACCTTCCCCGTGATCCATTTCTTGTGCGTTTTGCTTTGGTATTCGACGGTAGTGCCGCGGGGGAAGATGGGAGGGCAGTTGCCGTGTGCTACACCTGGCACCGCTGGCTTGATGTTGTCATCTTCCTCGTCGACCTTTGTCGGAACGATGACGGGACGGATTGTAGTGCTGGTCACGGGCATGATGGTGGTTCAATAATGTTGGGCAACAAAGTGCTGCTTTGCGATTCGGGAAGGACCACCAATTAGGGGCACGTGCCCGCTCTTCTACGCAAAAGAGGAAATGCTTTCTTTCCTGTGTATTGTGCAGGTGCTGATTGATAGCTTCGATTCGAGCGCTACTCTGCACGAATTGTGACTGATGACGCAGATTTCCGACGCAGGTGCTGGGAGTGCGATTGCAGTTTATGCACAAAGCTATTCGAAGAGAAAGACTTTCACAACGACAACACCTCTATCCGCGGAACGTCTACCATAGGCTCGCCTCCTTCTCACACTCTAGAATCTGCTCACAAAAATAAAGGATGCGCACTTGATTATTCCCGTAGCGCGGCACGCTCACTCACAGGCACAGCAGGGCGCGCTTGCTGCTTCCATTACGAACTCGCCTCAGAGAATATTCCACGGCACGGCTCGGCTGCATCGATTCATTTTCCACGGGGTGTGTGGCATACCTCCTGACCCACTGTTGCGGGGCGCGGGGGCGCAAGCCCTATCCACGCTGCGAACCACAAATGCCATCCTTCCAGCATCGGTCGCGCGCAGCGGGCGGCCGGGCACCACAAGCGCGAAGGAGCGAGAAAGCAAAGGCCAACACAGAGGCCCAGGTTCTTCGTACGTTCCACAGACAGAACGGCGCCGCCGGCAGAGAGCAAAGAACACTCCGACGCCCATGCGCCTTACTTACATGCGCTACGCCAGAGGCGGAACATGCAGTGCAGGCAGGGCGACCGAAACAACCGGGCCGCCGAACGATACCAGCCGACGGGGCAGGACCCGCGCCCGCCTCCACCCGGGGGCGCGCGGGCGCCAATGGGCTAGGGGCCCAGAGAAGGCGCCGCCCGCCAAGAAGAGCCTGCCGGGCGCCTGGCGTTCTCCGCCCGCTGGGCGGCTCCACAAGACTGGAGCGGGCTCGCCCTTTCGCGGTGCGTTTCGAAGGTGGAAGCCTCCCCGACTTTTTGCTGTAGAGGCTCCATCAGCGCGTCGGCGAGCTGTCGGACCAGCCACATGCCCTGTCCAGCGCAACGCGCCGGCCCCTGCCCCTGCGCGTGGCTGCAAATAACAAGGACGGGCCCACGCGCTAACGCTATGGCACGGGAGGCCACCTCTGCCGCCGCTAGCGCGAGCGAAAAGCGGCACGGGCCTCCAGGGCGGCGGGCTTACGGCTCGCAAGGCCCTCAACGCGCTCTCTGTTACGCCCCAACTTCTACACATGTTCGCACGAGATGAGTTCATCGTGCAGACGCTCGACGCGCTTACCTCCGAAACAATCAGAAGCGACTCAGAAACGTCAACGCTCCACGCACCTCTTCCTCACCTCTTCCTCTCATCGCATAAACGCTCCACGTACTGCATCTCTCCCTCATCGTGCTTGTTCGTCTGCAAATAAGAGGAACAACGTGACGAAACGGTAACAGGGTATCGAAATTCCAGAAACATATACGAAGATACCCTCAATCAAAATTGCCGAATCCGATGATAGTGGTGGAAACGGCATGGACGGTATGAGCCACTTACTGTTACTGTTTACTTGGATTCTGTTATTTTGCACGGAATATTGACGATCTCTTACCCTTGCGCCAAGAAGTCTTTCAGCTGTTTGTTTATCTGTAGCTGATTCACTCCTTGCACACACAGAGTACTTCTGTTATCTTTTCTACACTTCTTCCTCGCATCAGACGAGGACTTAGCACTGTCCTCAAACTATTTTGCATAGCCTTATTCCGAACGAGCAAGCGCTTGCACTTCTTTTTGGTGAAACAATGCGTGCTGTATTTCTAGGATAGGCCGCTGTGAAACTATAAACATAACTTAGAAGACATGATCGGTCGTGCGAAACTACAGCAATTTCATCTTGTATTGATTTGGCATTGCAAACGTGTTACGACGCAGCTCGAATGTTATGTATATATTGCACATCATGACAGCACATGAGATATTTTAAATTGAAATCAATATGATATCAAGGTTTGGTGCATACGTAACAACTCTTTCTACCTCCCACACCAAATCTCCTCACTTGCAGCTGACCGTGTCCGACAACACCTTGACAAAATGGTCGAAGATGGATTTCCGTTTCATCTCCAAAAACTTCTGTTTCAAGTCCCCCAGCTCCGCCTTCGTTTCCTCCAACTCCTGTTTCACCAAATCGTAATCCTCCTTGGAATATGAACTGCAAAAGCTGCATCGCACTCGTAGTAATCGCAGATATGCATTACAAATTTTATTGTAAAGGTAAATCCGCATTACAAATTCCATTCTTCATGCGGAGGAAATTTGCCATGCGATTTATACTAAGTACGATACTTTTGCAGAGGATATGGAATACACCGGTCTGCTACTAGCGTAGTTCACGCTCAAATTCTGCTGGTTCAGGGAGAATATGAATTGCAAAAGTCTCGCACTCGTACTGGTTGCAGTATAGCATGACAAATGCAACTCGAGTATCTGAATCAGCATTACAAATTGCATCTCCCTTCTGCAAAAATTTGTGATGCTACCTGTACTAGTAAATGCGATTTCCTGTTGCAATGCATACAGAAGTAGCTCGCCCCGCTGGAAGAAGCAGAGCTGGCTTTGGACTCGGAGTGTATCCTTTGCAAAAACGTCCACACCCCAGATTTACGATGGGAATTTGGCAACACAAATCCCGACGCTTTGGGAGTCACGCAAGACAAGTTGCAGTCCTTTGGGTGGTGCAGGGTAGCAAGATGGAGCGCCAGTTTATCCTGTTTCTGTTTACAGCATCACAAGTTCCACGACGCGACTGAGAATGCCTGTCATGGGGATCATGCACGTCGCAAATGTTCCTGTCTTTGCAAATCCGCATCACAATTCCGGGGAGGAGGTGGACACGTTTTTACACAGGGTAGACCGGGAGGATTGTTCCAGTATCGTGGTTGATGTGGATTCGGCGCTAGCCGCGGTTGCGTTTTGTAGTCCGGCGAGTACGGTAGTCCAGAAGGATGAAGAAGATTCCTGGTCGGCGATGTTCTGGGAGAGTTTTGAGTTTTAATTTTATGTAGCAAGAGTGGCTGCACACAATGTTTAAATATTTGCAAAGGAGTAGCCGTGGCTCCGAAAATCTTTCATGCATGGCTGGCAGAAGGATATTAACAAAACAGAGCTCCTGCTGCATCCACGAATCCTTATATCGATTAAACTTTGTGCATTTACATGTATGTGATCTAGTACAGCAGATTTCCCCGAGCCAGTCTCAGCCTTCGGCGCGATGACCTCCTCAGACGGCAGCATCATGTTTCCGAAGGCCTTCTTACTCGGGCTCTCGAGCTGTGCCGGCATTGTTTTATTTTGCAGAAACAGCTGCTACTGACCGGATTCAGTTCGTCCTCGCACTGTAACTCGATTCTGATGGACACAAATAAAAGTCAAAAGAAGCTACTTCGTCAAACAACCGAGCTTGCTGGTCCTACTCCGCAGAAGCGGGAAGCCTGATACGGGCGCTCAGCCACTCAATTCTTCGGAATTTTCGAGCGAACAGAAGCGCACAAGCCAGATATTAGGTTTTGGATCAGGGTTCCTGATACAGCATTTTCGTCCCGCGCTTGCTACCAAAAGGACGCACAAGACGAGTCTTCGAGTGCTCTACTTGCCCAGACATGGTCAGGCCGGAAATCTACTACGCGATACGGAGCGCGCAGAAATGGGGGCCCAACTCTTCTAGAACGCGACGTCCCCTGGTGGCTGAAAGAAAACACGCAGTACTGCATGAAAGGCAAGCGCCGGTCGGAGGGTGCTTTGCGTAACGGGTACCCCCGGGCCCCCGCAGCTTTGGTGACATCGCGTCGCCACAATCGGGTCGGCCTACGTGCCTGCCAACCAACTTGCGGGGGCGGTGCAATTGCCCACGCGATGCGACCGTGCAGCAGGGGCTGGCCCACTCACTTACAGACATGGGCGGGCCACAAGCCTGCCGGCCGCCTGGGCCGAAAGGCAGGGGCCCCGGCCCACGTATAAGTAGCCAGAACCAGGCGGGGGCCGCAGCACATGGGCCAAAGGCCCCGGCCGACTGGGCCGGCCCGGGGCGTTCCGCGGCCTGGCCCGCCACAACCAACGAGAAGAGAACAAAAGGAAGCGAGGCCGCGCGCGAACCGGCTGCAGTGCCTCCATCTCGCGAGACTCCTGCACCCCGCACGGCGTTAGCCTGAGGGGCGGCCGCGATGGGCGCCATAAATTATTGCCACTGCCGTCGACCAGGAGACGGGAGGCAACGCGCCACACACCCACTGCCGCGGGCGGCCCGGCACGACCCGGCCGGGCTCCTCGGGGGCGCCGCCGAGACGAGGCGGGGCCACCGCCCTCCCTCTGGGGAAGCGCGGCCCACCTGTGCGCGCAGCGCGCGGGCCGGCCCCGGAGCAGGGTGATCGCTCTCGCCGACACTCGGCCGCACTGCTTGGGTACCTATTCGCGGCACTTTGAAAACGTTTCCTCGCTCACTTCATCAACGCTCCCTCGGAGATCGCCACAAAAAGAACAAAACACTCCGAAGCGGCACACTTGATGCGCCGGCGCGCGGCTCAGGTCCAACTAACAGGAGAGAATTTCTGCCACCGGGGCCGACATCAATTCAACAATAAGAATAAGCACTTCATCTCGCCAGTCTCGATGCATATGGCTGTTCAAAATCAAAATGAAAGTCGAAACTGAAATTACAGGTAAACGTGCACTGCCAAAGATTTTCTCAACTCTTGTCCGAGTGCTTGCTTCAACAAACTCATTCAAAAGAAAAAGCTCTATGATGTGAAAGAAAAAGTTCTTTTCCTCTGCCAAGGACGACTCGTCCGGCGATAAAGTCAAATTGATAGCTCTAAGGAGGAGGAAAATTTGGAAGAGTCAACTAAATCGACGAGTACTTTATTCTCTGGAAGATTTTATGCATGCTCAAGCTAGAGTTGGACGAAAATAAAAATGGTTTCAATCGATAGTCTCTTACTCTTTTGCAATTGATAAAGTTTGCTAGTAGATGGGTGGGTTTAATGAGATAAAAGAAACATTGCGTCTTTCGTCTAACAGTATCACAGGCACTTGTTCAGGACGAGCATGAGGAAACAAGAAACAAAAATCGCAGAGAATTCTTCTAGTTCATTTTGGATGTAAGATAGGTAAACTTGTCATAAGTTTTGGTAAAATCTAACTTGCGCTTCAAGATCGAGCATCTATTGGCTAGAAGAATGCAATGGTGAACAAAGAAAGAACGAGTCCGTGATCAGTAAGCTCAAGACAACTAAAAAATGGAAACGAATGCTGAACGAATTTGAAGTTGAACTGAAACATATTCAAGTAAAATAAAACCCTCCTTTTGCTTCTTCCTCTCCCTCCCCACTGATCTCCACCACCACGACGGCTTCATTCCGCCCTTACTTGCACGTGGTCATCTCCCGCATCATCGTCAAAATCTTCACAAACACGTTTTCCGACTTCAATTCCGCGATTTCCTTCTTTAACTGCCAAATCTCCGCCTCGTTGGATTTCAACATCAGGCATCCCCTGAAAATATTTATACCACTTGTTTCAGCTAATTTTGTCATGCAAGCCATGGAAGGACTTCGGTTTTTGTCATGCTTATAACAGAAAGTTGTCGGAGTGGTACATAATCTTCAGGGCATATCACCTTCTGATTTTCCACCTCCCCGGACTGTTTTTCCAACTCGCTCTTCTTCAAATCCAGTTCCGCTTTCAACGCGTGAAACTCCGCCAGCGTCGGGGTTTTCTTGCTGGTGGCAGAAGAAGAATTTTTCGTGAGGGAGAGGTTCTTGGAAGAGGAGGAGTTGGTCGCTTCTTTGTTCTCATTGTCCTTTTTGGAGCTGAACAACCCGGCCCACCAGCTGGTCGTGGGCTCCGCCTGCTGCTCGACGACTTGCTGTTGCTGTTCCGGCATTTTTGGTTTGGTTTGGGGGTGTGTCCGAACGAAGTTCGTGGCGTTTGATGTGGGCGGCCACTCAAGGAGGTTTTGTCGACTAGATGAAGGACAAGCGGGTACTATTGGAAGCAACTTTGATGTGTGTTTTGCTGGCGCAGCGCTACTTTTAGTTTTACCAATTTATCAGTCAGACGAGACCGACAACAGGACTGACACCTCTACACGCTCTTGCTCTAGTGGGGACGAAGGTGAAGGATGAGAGCTGTAGCTCTTGTACACCAGAAAAGTACGTCCTTCGTTTGCGCTCACGAGACAGCTCGCTGTTTTGTTTACTAATATGAATGGCGACGGCGAGCGTCATCAAATACCGTGTTTGCTTTTCGACCTTGCCGATTCGTCCCCGAAGAAACAAACAAATGGGAATCAGGCAGAGGCGGACGCATAGCTCTCCGACGAATAACTCTCTGAACTTAGTCGGTAACCTTCGACCAACCCAACTAAATGCCTCGCGATGTGGAGCACGCCCAACATGCGGGGCTGACAGACCCGAAGAGGAAGTTCCGGGCAGGGCGTCGGCCCCAATTTTGTTTTGCCCTGGCCAGTGGTGCAGCAGAGTAGCCTTGGTTTTGAGTCAGCATGCCGGGCCGCCGGTCCTCCCAGGCTTGTTTCCGTGAATGGGAACTGGCGCCCGGGGGTGGGCATATGCAGATGGCCCCTGCCGTCAAATATCGGGCGTCGGCGGATCCCTGCTTCCGGGGGCGGCCCGGCGGGCCACACACGGCCCCAACAACTACATGCGCGGTCAGCTCATTAAGCTGCCCATGGCAGATGCGCACACCTGCGCAGGCAACGGCCTGCGCCAAAATATTAGCGGCGCCCATGCATCCCAAGCACCAGCCGGGCGCCACACTGACTGCCCACCCAACCAGGCAGCGCCCGCCGAAGGGGGCGCAAGGCTGGGGGGGCGCCGGCGGAGGGGCCGGCCCGACCCAAGGCCCGGCCGCGAGCCAAGCCATGCCCGCGCGTGCGAATTGGGCAGCGGGGCTCCAAAGCGCAACGGGCGCGCAAGCGAGGCCGGCCAAGCCCAGGGGGCGCACCAAATAAATAAAAAGAGAACCACACGGCCACGCGCCGCCTCCCGCTCCTTGCCGAGTTGGGTTTTCTCAGTGGTCTGCTGCTCGCAGGCGGGCGCACGCCGCACCCGCAGCGAAATTTGTCTGCGCGATTCTTGTCCTGTGTGGGCGGCACAAACCAACGGCACTGCCGCCGCGCGTGGAGCTCGCTGGCTCGCACGCGGCTGCGGCCGGCAAGCTTCGACACTGCCACCCAAGACCCCACAGCGGCGCCCCTCCTCCTGGCCGCGCGCCAAGAAATGCCCAGGGCGGGGCGGCCGGCCGGCTAGACAAATAGAAGCGCAACGCTCTATCGCTATGGTACACAGATGCTGACAGGCACAGGTTTGTGTAAAAATTAAAATGTCAAGTACTCGCATGAAGAATTCATCTCGGCGTTTGTTTCTTCTCTCAAGCATGGCTCTGTGCAACAGACACGTCAAGATTTTGCACGCTCAATTGCGCTCTGAGCAGACGACGAGACACTGAGAACATCGAGCCGGCACAAACCATAACTTTATCTTCTGTATTTTCATCTTGCCGCTCGTGGGCTGTTTACAGACAAAGTAGACGAGGCAGTAAAACTGGTGAATGGAAGACTAAGAAGATGGCTTCAACTGCACAAATATTACGATTACTTCATCTCATCAAGATCTGAGACGCACTGCCTCCTCGAATGAAGTGAAACTTGACATTCGTAGACCCAGTAACGCATCACTCATAGCTACCTTAATCATTGTTCCTAGAGCTATGTGTAAGTGTATGTCATGTGGACTTCTTTGTACATTGCCTATGCTAGAACTGAAACTATTCACTGCATCGATTACTGCAGGTTTCGGTCTGCTCGCACTCCAGTCTATTTTGCTGTTTTATTGCGCATTTAGATAAAAAGATCATGCTGGTAAGTTCTGTGTATAAATTTTGTAAGTTCTGTGTTGTAAAACTACTTTCACTTTGACGTATATCAAATTGCTTCCACAACCACATCACCCAACCATTCCTCGACGCACCTTTCCCTCCGGTATTAATCAGAGATCTCTTCTCAACATCCTCGCAGCCACAGTCGGTGTGCTGGTTGACAGCTACTGATATCAAATCTTCCATTTTAGTCGTAAATTTCCTCCTCACCATCGCTCCCTTCGTCCTTACTTGCAGACGCACATGGTTTTCAGCCCCGCCAGGAACCCGGCCGCGGTGGCGAGTTTCAAATCCATGATCTCCTTTTTCAAACCGGCAATCTCTTCCTTATGCATTGCACAAGTATCCCACAAGCAGTACACACAATTTGCATTACAAATTTTTTCAAGAACAAAAACGGAGTGTGTCATGCCATATCAGGCAGAGAGTTCGATTTGTCATGCAGGACTGCAATCAGTAAAACGAAAGAGTGCGATACTTTTGCAATGCATATTCCTCACAGGACTTCAATTTCACCTGTTGCTCGCCGAACTCCTGCTTCTTCGATTCCAACTCCTTGTATGCATATTGCAAAAACGTTTTTTGTGTCCATCTCCATCAATTTGTTTCCATCTACTGCAAGCGCAACTGCAAATTTTTGCATGACAAATTTTCTTTCAGTATGGGAACAAAGCTGGAATCTCTCATGCAGAATCAGGTATGAGTAAATCACTGATCAGTGGTCATGCCAGACTGGTGCAAGAGCTTGCACGATGACGAGGACATCATGATATTTTTGCACGTGTGATACCTTGTCCTTCTCCACCATTTCGGCCTGCATGGCGACGTAGTCTGCCAGGGTGGGTTCGTCCTTGGTAGCGGCGGAAGAATTATGCATTGCAAATATGTCTGGATCTGGAGAAGAGGAACTTGTGATGCTTGTCTTCGATTTCATTCTGGAAGACCCTTGATCATTTTGCCGCATGATCGACAAAAACCGAGCTTGTTTCACGCAAAAATTGCGTCACATCATTTTGTCATGCGCACTAGGGATTAAGAGGAAGCCAAGTAGCTGTAACAACGCCAGACCGCAAAAACATATTTGCATTTGATAAGAAGCCTTCTGCCCGGCGCTCGGGGTGGATGTGGTAGTCGCGGCGTCGTCACCTTTGTCTGAGGTGGCGGTTTGGTTCTCCGTCAGCTGCTTGTCGTCGGTCGCGACGACCGCAGCGGAACCGAACAGAGAGGCAAACATGATTTTTTGAAGATGGTGCAGTTGCTTCGTGTTCTACTTGTTATCGGAGATTGATGAAAAGCCAGTGCTTCGTAGTTGCAGTTGGAGATCTGTTTGTTCTTTCGGGGATGGATGTACAATAAATCAAGTCGTTTGAATACCAAGCTAGCTCGTCGTCTCTCCGGAAAACAAAACAAAAAAACGCAAAGACGTTGACAACTGGGCATGAATCAAGTTCGCCCACTGTGTGGCTACGCAGAAAAAAACTCAACTCAATACAGGACGTCGACGTTTCAAAAAAAAATATCTCGCCGAAAACAGAATCAATACTGCGCAGCAAATCTTAAGACAGTGATATTTGACGGCACACTACCAGTATCGGTAACAACACGGGCCTGTTTGCAAGAAGATGGCTTGTCGTTGTCCCATTGTGATTGAGGCCACAAACCCGCGGCCAAAGGTGTGAGTCAGACTCAGACAAGCAGAAGGCAACGTCCACACAAAATGCCGTGCCGCGCCTGCTAGCTTGGTCCCACAGGAGGCTCCCTGTAACAAGGCACTCGGCAACGCCTTCCCCCCGTCGCCCAGCACCGCGGCGCGCCACCACTGCGCGCTAGCAAGCAAGCTGCGGCGCCGAGCGGCCGAAGGGGAACTGACACACGCACGGGCGTGCGAGAGGGCCCAAGCAAGCCCCGGGCTCCCCGGCCCAAAATAAATAAAGCGTCGCAAGCGCGGCGCGCGGGCCCGGGGGCCCAACAGACACCCGGGGCAAGCAAAAAGAGGGCCGCCGCCCGCCCGCCGGCCGGGCCCGGCTTTAGCAACAGAGGGAGGGGGGCGAGTTCGGAGGCCCCCCGCCCGTGGCAATGGCGCGGGAACCGGGCGCCGGGGCGAGGTCGCCGAGCCAGAAAGAAAGCGCGCGGACAGCGGGGCTTTGTGTTTTTGAAGTGCGTTGGTCGGCGCCGCCACCGCGCGGCGGGCTTCGCTCCGTGTGCAATCCGGAGTCTTTCCGCCCTAGCCCTGCCGGCGCGCTGCCCCCGCGCGCAAACCACTCCACCCGCGGCGCTGGCTGCCTCCTACGCAACCGCAGTCACGCACGAGCTTGCTGATCACGATACTCGAGACGGCTGGACGCAATTCATGGGTGATATGGAAGCGAGGGCTAGGAGCGTCGTTTTCCGGTACACTAATGCTAAACGCGGTGGCGCCTCACTCAACAAAAGGAACGCGTTGCTTCTTCTTGTTCTCCAGGATGTGAAGTTCTATCAGCAACTCACCTCCACTCGTCGTTCGTTACTCCTTCCACTCACGGTCGCGTCAGCGCCACTCACTGCAACCAATCTGCTGACCAGAAACGCTAACGCAGCAACAAGATGAAGGCGAACATTCTCGCTACAGAAACAGAATCTGAGTGGGGAAGCTACATTTCTCTGCAATCATATTTCTCCAAGAAGCAGGCACTGTGGTTCATTTTCTACAGCTTCTCTTTCTAGACGTTTGTTGCGTTGGCTTGAAAGTTTTTGTCTCGTAGAAAATGATTGTGACATCGTTAGAACAGTGATATCCCCTAGTAGGAGCGGACAAAGCAACGCAATTTCTATACCGAACTTATTTCATTCATGTTCGTCTGCGAGGAAAACGAGCTGTACATGAATATCACTATCACAACCAATCTACATCATGCCGTGTCTAGATACCGAAAAGTAGACTGCGGAGTGGTTTTTAATGCTATTAGTGCATGAGCATGCATTTTAAATACGTTTCGCACAAAAATGTTTACTTCTTCTTCTCTTCGATCCTCTTAAAAGAAAACGCAAAAGTGTTGACTGAATCATACATGATTACCGCTAAAATTTGTAATGATAGCGACTAACTTCATTTCTTTGGTACATCCGTCTCGGGAAGAATAGATTTAGGATTACGTCGTCCAAGATCGAATTACTTGTGCGACCTGTCACGACATCTCGGTGAAACTAAAAGTACTAGTACGATTAAACTTTTGCACTGGATAAACTGCTCCGTGAACGTGTTTTCCGCATTGTACTTGGCAAACGGAATCTGCAGCGGTTCTTTCGGAATCAGCTCGAACACCCGCTCGGAGGACCGGAGTTCGTGCTGGTCAAAATCCTCATCTTCCCAGGTCTCCTTGTCATTTAGCATGACAGATTTGTTCGCCGCACAATTGGTCGTCGTCGTAGTAGCTCCAATCGCCGTCCCCCCGAAACTCAACCGACGGCCAGCACTGTTCGCGCGGGGGGCGGGGATCTGTAGAGGGAAGGGATTTTAGAATTTCGATTTGTCATGCTGAGTTCCACATTCATAATCCCATCTGTAATGCAAAAAGCGACAAGAAATTATACGTGCGACGGCGGTTTGTTCGGGCGGCGGACGCGGTCCTTCGGAGCGTTGCGTTTCACGTCCAGTTGGTAGCAGTTGTTCTCGTAGTCAACGCCTTCGACGAACGCTATCGAATGGAAAAGTATCGTACCCATGCCGTAGTCATTGCAATATATGCATGACAAATCTGCTTTCTTAGGTAATTTAGCATAGCGGGAACGCGGGCAGGGCGGGCAGGGCGGGAACGCGGGCGAACGTTCTCGCTTTCGCCATCGCGCCAACCTGCGTTCGCCATGCAAGCGGCGCTAGGTTGTAACACTTTTTACTACTGCCGCGGCAAAAAGTGTTACACCCCCTGCCCGACGGTGTGGCGTTTTTGCTTTTCTGCATTTTCGGGGCCGGATCGCGCGCGCGCAAGCACCAAAAAGGCTGCACGCCCCCACGCGTGGGCGCCCCTATGCGTACAAGCCTACGGGGCCACCAGCTGCTTGCCCACCAAGGACGAGCGGCGCTTTGTGTAATATAAAAGGGCATCGTGGGCCTGGGCCCGAGAAAGACGGCCCGCTGAGTCACCTGCGCCGGCTAACCCTTCCTCCGAATGGGGCCGCTTCGGCATTGCCAACAGGCCTCGCAAGAGCCAGAACCCCACCAGCCCGCCAGGCCCGGGCACCCCGGCAGCCGGCGCCCGTGCGAGGCAGGGACGTTGAACATCCCCGCGAGCGGCGCAACCAATGGAGGCGACCCCCGCCTAAATGAAGAAGAGCCGCGGCCGCTGACTAGGGGCAGATATTTTCCGCAGAAGTGAATCATGTCTGCGGAAAATATCTGCCCCCAGTCGCACTCTTAGAATTTTGAAAATGGCGCGCACCCGCGCGAAAATTGTGAATGGCTATCCCTGCAGCACATTTTTGGTTTTTGACACGCTATAAAATAAAAAAAAAGCTGCCCTTTCGGGTCCTTGGATTTCAAATTTGCGCCAACCTTTCACCTCGCATAGTTTTTCAAAATCGCTTGTGCGACCTGTCACGACATCACGGTGAAACTAAAAGTGGTGTCTCTCTACGTACGGCGTAACTTCTTCATCCCTCACGACCTCTTCAACTTTCATCAGAGTCCTCACTTGCACGTGACAAACTTCTCGACCCCGGAGAGAAAAGCGGGGGGCGGAGGAATAACTACGTCGCCGGTTATTTCTCCTGCTTGTTCTTGTAGTTCGTCTACTTCCACTTGAATATTCATGTCCGCCGCTTCGTTATTCCTGCTAGGACTATCCACTTTTATCCTCCTCACCTCTTGCAACTCTCGTTCCAACGCCGCTATCCGGTTTGTATGCGTTGCAAAAGCATCTTCGCACTTGTAGTAAAAGTAATCCTAATCGTACTAGACATGCATGACAAATTCTATTCTTCCAGGTAGATAAGCATTACAAACTGCGTTTTTAAATTTAATGCTGAGAAAATTTGGCATGCGATTTGTACTACTATGTATCAAGATAGAGATACTTTTGCAATGCATAGTTTGTTTTTTCCTCCAATTTCGCCTTCAAATCTCCTACCTCCTCCACCGCTTGTTCGTACTTCTGGTAGCAGGAGCAGAAATTCTCGGTTACTTCCTCCAATTCCCCATTCACCCGAAGGAACTCGCCGTTCACAAATTCCAATTCTTCTTTCACCAGATCCAGTTCCGACATGGTGGGTGAAGAAGGAAGGGCTAGTTGATCGTGGGTTACATCAACCTGGGTGGAGAGAGATCGGAGGCAGTTGGAATTTATGCATAACAGGACAAATGATGGTTCGAATCTTGATCTTCTGAAATCAGAATTACATACAAACGGTGCTCGTCGTCCTCGTCCTAGACCTAGCAGTCACAGTGGTCCTGATCAAATACAAATACGGGTGTAGTCGAAAATGTACCTCCGAGTCATCCCTTTCCTCTTCTTCTGCCACTTCATCCTCGAAAACCACCGGCAACCGCGTCGAGGACGAGGAAGATTGGTTTTGAGCGACGACTCCAAGACCTCTCTGGTGGTTGCAGCGGCAGTTCAGTTGAAACTTCTCCTGTTTCTTGTTGGAGAATTTGAGGGACACTGTTTCTCCCACATCGCATGTTGATGCTCCCTGAAGACCCGGGAGCCAGTTCTGCTTGGAATAAGGCGGATTGGGGTGGTTCTGCAGCAGGTTATGAGTTGCGCCCGACGGAAGATGTGTTCTGCTCGTGGAGACAGGCATCTCTGAACAATAGAAAACAGACAACACAATCCGTAAACGAGGCAGGTAGGTTACAAGAACTGCAGGTGCCGGACCAAATGGGGACTACCTGGCTTCTACTTCGCATACGAAATAAAAGGTTCAATTCTGAAGACCAGTTTTGGATTCCTGGATCAACATCAAGGATGAGACCGCGCGCGCTGCCACTCCCTGTGAGCAAGGTCGTGTAATCGCTCACGTTCATCTAAGTTCCCCGACGTCCTCTTCGCACGCAACGACTCATCGACACTTGGTTGGTACACAACGACTCATCATCATTCCCCTCCTCTTCTTGTGGCAACCGGAGCGAGCGGCTGTCCGTTGTAGTATACCATGCAACACATTGGCCGAACGAGACGAACTCGACGCCGATTCATTTTGCAGGGACCACCATGCAACCAATGCGAAATCACAATCACGCCTCTTTGTCAGGGAGTAAACAAACTGATGGCGCGCACGATCTTGATGTTGCTGACAGGTAACTTGAAGCACGGGCCGAGTCGTCGCTCCACACACATCACTACCGTCAAACGGCAGCAGGGGCCAAGGTAGGAGAACCCGGCAGCGGGCCCGCCTTTACTTACGCGCCCTGACGGCCGGCGAGAGGGTGCGCCCTAGTATTAAGCCACACCATACACATGGCAGAGAGGTGCGCCGGACCACGGACCCAGCCGGGCCCGCGGCTTGTTACTTCCGTTCCCCTCTATACTACCTTCAGCCCCTCGGCAAACGAGACCAGCCAAGCGCGCGCACCGCGCCGGGCGCGGAAGCAGGGCGGGGGCGGACCACAAAAGGCCCACGAAGGAGGGCCGCAAAACTGCCGACGCGGAAAAGGACACGCGCCCAGATCGCGCGGCGCCCAAGCACACAACGACAGCAAGGGCGCGCCGGCGTGCCCGAGGAGGCAAACAACCAAGCCAGGGGGCGCGCGCGCTGCGCACCTGGCCCCCCGCAGAAATATGGGGGCGGGCGCAAGGCCTCGAAGGCCCCCACGACACACGCCCCCCCGGAAAAGGTTACGGCGGGCCCTTGGCGATGGAGCTGGTAGCGGAAGACGAGCCGAGGTTCTCGAGAAACTCCCGCTCGCCCCAAACTGCTCGCGCCCTTCTCCGTGAAAAAGTTCGCCTCGGAGTTCCCGCGCGTCGGCGCGCCGACCCGTCGCCCCCGCCTCCCCGCGGCCGCGCCAGCGGCGACAGGGGGGCGCGCACAAGCTGCGGGCGCCGGAGGCGCTGGCAATGCCAGCCAGCAAGGGGCGGCCGCCCTGCTTTTAGCCCAGTTCACTCCTGCTCGCATTTTTCCAACATAATTCACTTTGCGCCCCTTCTCCTCGCACGCCCCTCGCATTTCGTCATATATTTCTTCCGTGGTATGTCGAAACCCCGAGGAACAACTCTGGCTGCGTTTGTGGTAGTTTCTTTCAAACTCCTTCGCGGCGCGATACTTCGGCAGTGCGCCATTTCTAGATTTCCAAATCATACAGAGTACTGCTTTCGTCTTGAATAAATACAATTCTTTAAGAAGATGCGCGCGGAAGTGAGTACATACAGATAGAGAGTCGCTGCATCTTCAGCGGTTCCACATAATCTCACAAACTTTGGTGGAGAGGCGTAATTTGAACTCTGCGCGCTTGCCTGGCAAAAAAACAGGTGAAACAGAAACTGTGGCTAGAAATAGCAAACAGAAATGATCAGGGTAAAACGAGAATACATGTTGTTACAGGGTAAAAAGAGTCATAAGTTTCCTGCGTCAGAGCCGAGTTGCATCATACAGTCAAGCAATAAAACATCAAATCTAGCAGTACTTATTTTGTAGCCTGTCATGCTACTTCGGTTTTGCGAAAATTCTGACTTGAAGATATACGTTTTTTTTTGAATAAAATTCACTATATTTAGCAACACTAATAGCGACAGAGTATTGATACTTTTTAGAGAAAAACAGCACTCCTTCATTCTAGACAGAAAGCAAGTGCGATTGTCGTAAGTGTCACAGAAAACTCAACAAAAAATCACTGTAATCATAATTCGAGCAAATCCAGACCTCCCCATCCACATTATCTTCCAATGTTGCCGATTCTAATACAACACCTCCGGCTTTTTTTCCTTTTTCTTTGGTCGTGACACAGCCGAAAGATTATTGTTCTTTCTCCTCGCTACTACTCAATTCGAAGTCGACATTTTCGAACAAATCTTTCAAAAGCTTCTCCTCATCCACTTCGAACAAACCCCGTTCGAACAATGGTCCAGCAAAACTGCGCCGGGTCCGTGCGTCGAGAGGTCGTCGCCGTGGTGGATTGCGGTGAAAGGTGGGCTGGAGGTTTCCTTTATTCGTCCGACTCAATTTTTCCTCCAACTCCCTAACCTTTCCGTCCCGTGTCTTCAGTTGGAATTTCAAACAGTCAATCTCCGACACCTTCAACCCCAACTGCGTCGTATGCTCTGCAAAAGTATTGTTATACTCGTAGTAATTCAAATTCTAATTGCTCTTCTGCATGACAAATCTCCTTCCTAAGGTAAAACAGCATTACAGATTTCTTGTGTAATGCTAAGAAAATTTGTAATGAAATTACGACTAGTGCGATGCTTTTGCAACGCATACGTCGTCTTCTCCCCCAACTCCCTTTTCACCGCCTCAAACTCCTCCAGGGTAACGTATCCACGTTTTGAATCCTCCGCAAATGCATCGCACGACTGGCAGCACATGGGACAAATTGCGATCACGCATTACAAATTCCGATTGTTCCGGTGAATTCGCATTACAAATTCCAGTTCTTTGTCATGCCAAACCAGGTTCTTGCCATGCGAAATCTGCGTAGCTAGTACGATACTGTAGTTGCACAGGATATCCGTCGGGCGCGTACAGTGTGGTCACTTTCGACGGGCCGTCGTACGGGATCATGTCGTGAAATTTATTTTCATGTTGGTTCTGATGTTGGGCGGAGTTGTTATCCTGCTTTTCTTCACTGGTAGCCGCAGGATTTCCGGTGACTTGTACTGGTATAGTCGTGTTTGGATTCTTGTTCTGGACACCTGCAGTAGCAGCAGGAGCAGCAGGGTGGTCTGCCGTACAAATCGTAATCGCGATCTGTCCGATGGTACGATTATTGGCGCCGCAGTTTTTACTTGCACTAGAACAAGCTGCGATCGTGGTCGGCACAACTACTGCTTCCGGAGCAGGATCATGATTCTGGTGCTGGTGCTGGACCTCCACTGCCTGGTTGCTACATTTGTTCGGCAGAAACGGATTTTTCTTTATCACCTCGGGAGGTGTACAGGTACGCGTGGGCGGCTGAAAGATCCCGCGAAAAAAGTGTTGCAATTACACATCTGTTGTCAATTCAGCAAGACAAATTTTTCTGCATGAGAGAGAAAACTTGCAATGCAGAAATCCTACGGGAAAACAGCTATGACACGAGGCTCCTATGCATATCCGGCATGACAGAGCTTGTCTGTCTTGCTTGGCCTGCGACGCAATGTGTAACTGTAACACTTTTTTCTTGCGATATGGAAGATCCCGGCTTTATTCGCATCCTCCGCGGCCGGAGCAGCGGGGGCGGCGGAACGGAGGGTCTGTGAGTGATTATTTGTGCGGTTTTGCATTGCAATTCGGAATGATATAGCTTTACGACACACGGACAGCACATACTTGCAGTCGTTTCTGCATGACAGAACATCAAGAAGTAGATGAAACAAATTTTATCATTCCGCATCACCTTCCGGTCCGGTAATCGCACCCGATAGTACGGTGCTTTGGGCTGGACGTCGAGTTTGTAAATTCGCTGGCTGTGCGAGTACCCTTCCACCGTTCCGAAGATCCACCGGCTTTGCGTTTCCGAGTAGTACACAACCGTAGTGCCCTTCTCGTACGGCTTAAGTGGGGGAGCTGGGAAGGGATGCAGTGTGGGGGGTTGAAACGCACGGGTCGGGTTAGTGTGCTGCTGATAATGGAAATGCTCTTGTTTCTGCGCCATCGGGGGGTAGGACGCGGTTCTGCGTTGCAGGACGGCGGGGTAGAGCGAGGAATTGGATTTTGGATTTTGCAACAAAGTAGATTTCAGATGCTGCTGATCTGCCGGCTTCGGATGCAGTTTAATCCGCTGCTGCTGTTCCTGTTCTTGTTTCCCTCGACCAGCCGCGTCACCGCAATTCTCTTTGCTGTTATTCCCGCTCGTCGGACAACAAGGTGGTTGCTGTTGATGAAACAAATTTTTACTCGCGTGGTGAATCATCAATACACTGCTGTCCTGCAGTTCGTCCTCCTTTTTCCGTTTTTTGTCGGATTCCCGGATTTTGTCCAAAATCTTCGGCGTTTCGTACTCCTATCAAATGTAAAAATGTCTGGGTCTGGAAGATTGGAACTTGTGATGCTACCTTTGGACTCTAGAAAAATCTGTATTGCATGACCAGCAAGAGGCGTCTAGTTTGTGCTACGCGGGGAGGGCGTTTGTCATGCGGAGTAGGCATCAGGAAGCCAGCTCAATATCTGTGATGCGCGGTCGTGCATTACAGACATCCTGGGTCATCGAAAACATGCATGACAAATCTCAGAATCTTCCAGACCCAGACATTTTTACATTTGATAACTCCCAGTAGCGTTGGATTCTTCGGCGCGGCACACGCGGTGAAAATAAATCGTCGTAGATGCAGGAGTTGTCGGCTTTATTTCCCGGAATGAGGCTGCGTTGCTGAGGCTGCTGTTGATGTTGTTCTTGCAAGATTTTTCTCTCTTTGGAATCGCCACGAATCCTCATTTTAGGTGTGTTGAACTTCAAGAACTTTGCTCTTTTTCATACGTGATTCAGCTAGCAAAGTGCTGCTTTTTTTATGGATCCGAACAAAACGAACAACGACAGAGATCTGATCTGCACTTCGAGGCTATGGGTGGTGGAGGTGCAATCAAAAAGAAGGCGAAACGAAAAAGCGACCAAGGCAATAAAATCGAATATGCGACAAGAAACGATGTAGCAAACAAGAAGGAATTTAGAATAGCGATCTTCTACCACGGACGGATGTGCTTACTTCTTCGAAGCGAAGCGACCAGTAAACGAGTGCGACATGTTGATGTTTCACGACGATGAAAACAAATAAAAGTGTGTATGGATGGCGACCGAGGCGAACACGGGCCCAATTGGCCTTAAAACACATTGAGCAGCATGGTTCCGCTGCGGCGCATTGCGACTCCCGGATAGAATACTCACTTCAACATAATACCCGCTCTCGGAAGAAACGCCACTGGGTGCGCAACCGGCATTCCGCTGCCCACCCGCTAGCCCAACGGGCCGCAGACAGATCGAAGTCTCCGCGCGCGCCACCACCACATTCGAGGGCGCCACCCTCTGGGCAATCAACCCGCGCGCGGGCGCGGGGGCCAGGCTTTTGGCCAGAGCAGAGGCGGGGCACAGAAGCTTTTGCTTTACACACTACCTGCGCCCCTACACACCCGTGTGCGTGCGACGAGGGTGGGCGGCAAAAAGAAAGGAACCCCCAACCGCTTCCGCCGGGGCACGAACCACCATCATGATCGCCCGGGCGGGCACACTCACGGGCCGCGCTACTTGGGCGGGCGCGGCGCCGACGCAACCAAGAAAGCGCGGCCGCAAAGGCCGCGCACCCCACAACACCATGGCCGCCGATGTCAATCCGCCCGCCTCTGGTTTTCGGCGCCTCTGGATGATGCCTGGCAGCTTGGCGGGGGTTGTTTTCGTTTCTTCGCCGTCGCGCAGGCGGCTTCGCTTCGTTGCCTGGCGCAGACTCGCGAGACCGGCCGGCCAATGGGCCCGGTGGAAGCAACGCGCCCCCATCGATACCCCGCCGACAAATCGGGCGCGGCCGGGGGGGGGGGGAGATGCCAACGGTAGGGGCACACGCGGGGGGGGGGCGAACATGCGCCGCCCTTCCCGCCAAGCAACAAGTAGGCCCCCCGCCCATCCAAGGAAAACCCGCAGGCCCTGACCATATGCATTGTAGAACTCGCAAAAGGAATTTATTCCAGCCCGTGCGCGATTCTCTCACCCGAGTGCACTCAACAGTCCCGGCGTTGCAGAAGAACGCTACATTAGTAAGTAGCTCAACTCGTGCGTCAACAACTCGAAGAAATCCCTTCTCAAATCAGACTCACACGACCGTCACAAAAGAGACTGCGCAATCCGAAGTGAGCCGACACTTCCGGAGAGAGTCTCAAATTCGGGCAGGTTGACTTTGAACCATGATAAAAGTTGCACCCGCTGGTGCTTTCTGAGGTTTTAGTCAAATTTCGTTTGTCAGTTCATCCACGACTTCGAAGGATGAGATCAAGGAGAAAGATTTAGCTGCAAGTTAATTAGAAATCGGATAGGTACAGTCAGTCACAGATTTTTGCATTTATCTTCTAATCTTGACAAGTGAAAGAACATAGACTTCGTATCTTTTCTGGGCAAGCTAAAGCTGATAATCATATATCTTCGGTCAGATAATAATTTGAAAATTGTGCGTCGAACTACACGACGACGACCTTACATTTTGATACATTGAGCTAGAACTACCGGTGGAACCATAAATTCTAAAAAATCTCAATCGCGGTCGGAAACATCCGGTCTCGGTTGTCTGAATCGTACACATATATACTCCATCTTCGTTGAAAACGTGCAATTGAACTAGAACAACGCTAATAATCTCTCATCTCCCCTCCCACCACAAATTGATCTTCCGCACTACACCAGTACCACCTCCCTTCACTTGCAAAACACCACTTTCGCCAGAAACCCGAAACACGAGAACCCACTCGTCTCCTCCGTCATCCCATTACTCACCACCACCTGCCCGTTCCCAACCATCCGTTCCAACGCCGCATGGTCGTGCTCATGCATTGCAAAAGCATCGCGCTTTGTTCGTGCTAATTGCAGTCACGCATGACAGATCTGTGGCCTAACGGGAATCAGCCTTACAAATTGTATTTTGTCATCTCTTGGAAAATTTGTATTGCAATTTTCACTACGTACGATCCCTTTGCAATGCATAATGCTCCCCGGACTCCAGAACCGGCGTCGTCACGATCACGATTGTGTATTTGTCCTCCTTTTCCGCGAAAATATCCGAACTGGAAGACTCCGACTCGTACAGAGATTCTGCGTTGCTCGGCTCCTCCTCCACTGGAGACAGGAGATTCTTGCTTTTGTTCTTCAACCGCGGAGCATCAAGAGGTCCTGCTGTGTGTGTGTCATGCTGATCATCATCATCTTCTTCCGGTTTTTCGCAATAAATCAAATCCCCTTTCTGGTCAACCATCACTTCCACCTCTTCTTCCCGGATCCTGATGTTTTTACATATGGCGATCGCAAACGTTACACTCTTGACTGTTACATGGATTTGTGATGCAAAAACAGCAATAGGGAAAGGGGCGAGCTTGCAACTCTCGCATCACAAATAATTTCGCACAGATTTAGATTCTATTGAGCCCCTCGAGGATTTGTCATGCGAAACAGCTTGATAACCTGGCGGCTCATGGTCATCTTGCATGACAAATCGTGTAACAGGTGAGAATGTAACGTTTGAGAATGCCATATTACCGTCACCACCACTCGAACTGCCGAAGTTCGCACCAATCCCAGCAACCGTGGCATGATCTACTTCGAGGACCGGGACAACCGCCACCGATAAACTCGCCACAGAAACCGACTGGTTTGGGGACGGGAAAACACGGTCGGGAGAAGCCGTGCGGACGGAGATGTATGAATTGCAAAAGTATCGCACTGGTACTAGAACTAGTGGTAATTGCATTACAAGTTTTTACCTCAGCATGACAAATGGAATTTGTCATGCTGTTTTATCTCGGGATGCTGAAGATTTGTAATGCATAATTGCAATTACTACGAGTAGTTGTGCGATGCGTTTGCACTGGATAAAATGGAGTCGTCGTCGATTTCGGTTTCGTGCAACTGCTCCTGCCCTTGATGCGAATGACCGTTCTTCTCGTCGTTGTCGGTTTGATCTTTCTGCATCAAAACCGGAGCAGTTCCTGCAAACTTGATAACTTCATCTTCTTCCTTGTTTTCACAGCCAGTTGCTCCGTTCACCTCCTTCGGCGGCGAGGCCGTCCGGACAGACACTGAATCCTCGTTCTGCTCTTGTTCATCTTCGGAAACGGAAGCGGACACGGATTGGGACTGTATGCACTGCAAAAGTATCGCACTCGTACTAATTGTAATTGCATTTATGCATTACCAATCTTTTTCTTCAGGTAAATCAGCATCACAAATTTCATTTCTAATGCTGAGGAAAATTGTAAAAATGCAATTTATACTAGTACGATTAAACTTTTGCACTGGATAAACTGCTCCGTGAACGTGTTTTCCGCATTGTACTTGGCAAACGGAATCTGCAGCGGTTCTTTCGGAATCAGCTCGAACACCCGCTCGGAGGACCGGAGTTCGTGCTGGTCAAAATCCTCATCTTCCCAGGTCTCCTTGTCATTTAGCATGACAGATTTGTTCGCCGCACAATTGGTCGTCGTCGTAGTAGCTCCAATCGCCGTCCCCCCGAAACTCAACCGACGGCCAGCACTGTTCGCGCGGGGGGCGGGGATCTGTAGAGGGAAGGGATTTTAGAATTTCGATTTGTCATGCTGAGTTCCACATTCATAATCCCATCTGTAATGCAAAAAGCGACAAGAAATTATACGTGCGACGGCGGTTTGTTCGGGCGGCGGACGCGGTCCTTCGGAGCGTTGCGTTTCACGTCCAGTTGGTAGCAGTTGTTCTCGTAGTCAACGCCTTCGACGAACGCTATCGAATGGAAAAGTATCGTACCCATGCCGTAGTCATTGCAATATATGCATGACAAATCTGCTTTCTTAGGTAATTTAGCATAGCAAATTTCTACTTGTCATGCTGAGCGAATTTCTGATGCGGTTACTCCCAGTACGATACTTTTTCAATGCATAAACGCCTTGATCCAGCGGTTTCCCAAGGACGAGGAGTTGTACAAAACGTAGCTGTTCACGGGGAAAAAATCGTCGTCTCGGTCCTGCTCCGCATAGTGCTCTTTCTTCCCAAGAACAGAAACAGTGGTGCCGCTGCTTTGCGCCTCTGCCGCAGCATGCGCCGCAGAGGCAGTGGCACCTGAAGTAACACTGTCCGGCATGATTGTCGTGGTAAATGGTGTTTTCGTAGACGTGTTGTCTTTCTTCTCCTCACTACGATGATGATGAACTCGTCGCAGGCTGAATCCACTGGACGAGGATTCAAATGGTATAGTGCTTTGGATGCGAGCGCAGTAGAGAAAAGTCACGCGCGACTTCTCACGAGGACGATTTATCGATGTATGCGATAATGAACATTTCGATGAATTTACGAGCAGGGACGAGTATTGACAGAAGCAACACGATCACGGCGAACGACCAAGGCGATTAGGGGCGAAGCCGAGTTCTTGGCGGGAAGAAGGCCACTGCTTCGAGTTCGAGATAATGGGGTTGAAAACGACAATAACGACCTGCCGAATGATCCCATAAACTAGTATGAACGAAACCTATTTCGGAAGAAATCCAAAACTCGGCGTTCTGCGTCTTCACCTCCAGCAAGAACGAGGCGAGTCTGATTCTGGCTGCGGTTTCATACCTTGCAAGCGGCAGTAATTTCCAGTATAAGCATCGTAGTTGCGACAGCGACTATTATACACACGTCCGATCATGATGTCTACGCAGAGCACGAACTAATTCACAATGCTAAGACTAAATCAACTCCAACACGAGGCGCATGTACATATCTTTCGCCTTTCATCGTCCATTTTAACATAGTGTTTTCAATTCAATTGCCACTATACAGGCAATTTTGCATACGTCTTCTAGCTTGTACTTGTGTTGTGTGAGATCTAAGTGCTAATTTCAATGTAGTGCACGTTAAACTTCCGGATTATTTCGTTGAAAATTCTGCTTTCGAAGAAGGATACGTTGTGGTTTACTATCAGACAGTGCCGGCATTTGTACAAAAAAGTACTTACGAGTTCTAGAAGTGCAATTGTTTTTTCTATAATTTTCATCTTGCTATTTTCTGGTTCACAAGGACAAGTAAGTCAAGGTCTACTAAATCCACACTGCCTGTGGTCTCGATGCCGCTCCAGACAAAATACTTTAGAAATTCATTTTTATTGTTTAGGCTTTATTTTCCGCAGTCAACATGATACCATAGTACAGCAATTTGTTTACACCACCAGTTCATTTGCTTCAAAACTTTCTAATTCCCTTTCCGTTTCATCCAGCAACCATCATCCTCCCGTGATCAACTTCCTGCTCCTTGTTACCGTCACCGGTAAGTCGTCAACTTCTTCTGGGACGCGTTGTTGCTCTGGTAGATGCTTGACGTTCCCAGCGCGTGCTTGACCCCCTCCACCGGCTGCCGGCAGCACGGGCACTGGAACCGGTTCTGCAGACCAATCGTCATGCGGTCCTGCAAATCCGTGTAACAACCCCCGCACAAAACTGTGTGGTTACAGGGCTGCAGCCGCACCCCCGCCGGTTTTTCCAGGCACACCGCGCAGTCATTGCCGCTGCACCCGACGTTCACGTTCAGGGAAAAGGTGCGCTCGCCGGCGTAGGCCGGGTTTTGTTTGTCCTGCCCGAACATGATGGTGAAAACCTGAAAGAAGTGGTAGATAACCATAACCTTCCTTTAGTTTTGCAATACAAACATTGAAAAGCATCCCTTTGTTCCTGCATGAATGAAAAACTGCACGATCTTCACGTAAAACAACTATGCTCTTCGTGCGAATCTTGCATGACAAACTATAAATATATACGAAAAATCCTACCTCATCCGCCGCGAACTCCAGCAATCGGCGCTCCGTCGGTGTGGTATCCAGGCAGGGTTTGCCGCTGGCCGCGGCGTGGGTGCGGCGCAGGGTGCAGGTGCCCCTCACTGACCAGAGATCGATCACCATCCACTGTTCGTTCGTTGGCACGTACACGATGAAGCCCTGCACGTATGAGAGTGCAAATCAAGTCCCACTTTACAACTTCTGCCCTGCAATTTGTCATGAAAAATGCCATTTATTCAATCGCTGCACTTCGGCACGGTGAGCATGACAAATTCCTAAATGCACAACAATGAATACTGCAAAAATCGGCTTAGAAACTTGTCATGCGCACCAGCCTCCATCTCTACTGGTAAAGCTCCTATTGCTGCTCGTGCCTTGCAACTGAGGAGAAGCGGAAGTAGAGAGACGAGTTTTTGTGCACTCTGATAGGACGCGCGAGACCTCCTGACGAAAACCGTCCACGCAGGGGATCACGATGTCGTTGATGTCGAGGCAGCCGAAAACGATATCCTGCTGGAAAGGATTTTCAGCATGACAAAAGCTATGTCTGGTAGTTTGAGTGCATGACAAGTGGCTGGCTGCTATTGGCGGGAGAGCAACGTGTTAATCTTAATACTTTGTCATGCAAATTATGCCCAAACATTTACCATGCCGGATTTTTCCCTTCCCATACCTCACGATCGGTTTGTTTTCGAACTCGTACAGCTTGAAGTTGGTATCGTAGATGGCGAGCGGAGGCTGTGCGATGATATTAGTGGATCACGAATCCCAATTCTGCATGACAACCAGCATTCACTAGTCTCAATTCTGCATGACAAACACAAACTTCCATACTGTACCGCATTCACGACCGCATCTGTATCAGGCAGGGCGGGCTTCACCAACAAATCGTAGATTTCCTGTTTCGCCTTGTCGACGCTCATGTAGTATGCATTGCAAAAGTACTTCTCGCACTCTTACTAATTATTATATTTATATATGGAAGAAAACGGGGCTGGAGAGGGTACAATAGAGGTCCGGTAGAGGTTTCGTAGAGGTAAAATAGAGGGTCCGAGAGGTAAAGTAGAGGGTCGGCCAAAATGAGAGGGTCGGGGAGAGGTAAAACGAGAGGTAGCGGAGAGGGTCGGGAGAGGGTGAGCCGTATAGACGCCCTTAAAGCGGGGCTATACGCGCGCAGAGGTAGGGTAGAGGTTTGGGAGAGGTCAAATAGAGGGTAGGGGAAGAGGGTGTAGAGGGTCGGAGAGGGTGCGTAGTATAGGGCGACCCTCTAGGCGACCCTCTACCGCGAACCTCTCCGGAAACCTCTATTTTACCTCTCACCGGACCCTCTCGGGACCTCTCCGACCCTCTCCCGGACCCTCTCCGGGACCCTCTCCGACCCTTTCCTGGACCCTCTCTGAACCTCTCCCGGACCCTCTCCCCGACCCTCTCCGGGACCCTCTCCCGGACCCTCTCGTGGACCACCTCCAGACGCACAGCCTGCCCACTTGTCTGCGCGCGGCGCCCCCTCAAGAAGGTCGCTAGGGCGCAGCGACCGGCTGGCATTGTTTTCGCTTTCAGATCAGAGCGGCCGTTCAAAGTGCGTGCGCCGCTCTGCGTCCCCCAGAGGGGGCGCGGCGCCCCGCCTTAACCTGGTCGGCCACCTAGGGTGGCCGCAACTTCTTTCCCACAGCGCCCGCGCGCGCTGGCAGCAGGTGCGTCGCCCTTGTGGCGTCTTAAACGTTGGCGCCCGGAAATAGTTTCCTGTGCGCATTTTCCCACGGCGCGCAGCTACTAAGGCCGGGCATGGTGCCCGCCCATGCCGAAACATGGACCGGGCTCTTTTTATTTGGTTGTGTATCTGCGCGCAGCGATTCAATGTTGGCGCCACCTTCCCCACCGGAACACCTCCACCGAACAGCCCCCTCCCCGGCGGCCTTCGCCGGGGGGTGGCTGGTTGTAACTATGCATGACAAATCTTGTCCTTCAGGTAAAACAGCATGACAAAAAAATCCAGTTCTCCTTCTCATGCTGAAAGAATTTGTAATGCATTTATACGAGTACAGATGATGATGATGATGTTACCCAGTAAAGGGTATAGGGTGTTGAAGAATGTCCTTCGGTTCTTTATCTTTTGCAGTTCATATGTAGTTGAAAATGTCCAAGTATTTGTTCCGCAGATCGTTGGAAACACTTGCATCGGCAACCGCAGTATGCAATGCAAAAGTGTCTGGGTCTGGAAGAGTCGGGGTTTGTCATGCACATTTTGCATGACCCTTGAGGTCAATGATGCAGGTCCTCGCATCACAGATTTTTTGAGAGCTTCTTGATGCTTATCACGCATGAGAAATGGCCTCTCCGCACGCCAAGAACTGGACTCTTCTTGCTGCTCATGCAACACCGATATTTTTAGAATCCGCAGACAGCATTACAAGTTCCACTCTTCCAGACCCAGACATTTTTGCATTTGATACGCAGTTTCCTTCTTGTACTGCTGAACCTCCGCGGGGGCCATGACCTGCTTGTAGACGGACTTCGCAACCGGCAGCGGCTGTTGTTTGGATGATCCCGCAAGCGGATTTTTGCTCACACCGAAGACCGGTTGCGAAAAAGCCCGGTACTTGTTACTCGAGCTCTTCTTCATGGACATGTGCTTGATGGTTTGACTTACGACCGCGAAACTGGTGTTGGCCTTGATGACAGCTTTCGCTTTCTTGTAGTTGAGGCTGTCTTTCGGAAAGAAGGGGTTCTTCTTCGGTAAGGCGGCGACTTTGACGACTTTTTTCATTTTCTTCATGGGCAGTGGTTGTTTTTTCATCGCCATTTTCATCTTGATCGTTCCCGCAGACGGTTTTTTCATATCGATTTTCTTGTAGATCATGCCGAGTAGCGGGTGCTTCTTACCAACTATAGAGTGCAAGTATGTCTGGATGTCTGGAAGAGTGCAAAGTTTGTCATGCATCTCGCGGACCACACACATCCACATCATGTAGTCGGACATGCACACAGAAGAACCACAGATTTTGATGTGAAACCTTCCTCATGCTCATATGTCCGTCCATGATAAATCCGTCTTTTGCGTAGCAAGAAGTTGTGGCCAGCGCCAGCTTTCGACGTTCATGCAATACAGATTTTTGTGAACTGAGAACGCGCCTGACAAGTTCAAGTTGCAACCTTCCACTAACCGTGACATATTCTTATATTTGCAGTGCATAGCCTGGTACTTGCTGTTGTTAAACGTCAAGTCATTCTTCTTAGACTTCACGGCGAGATCGTTTTTGTTGTTCTGGTTTTTCTTCGGTAAGGCGGCGACTTTGACGACTTCTTATCCTGTGCAAAAACATCCCCATCCCAGAGTTGTAATGCAAATCTGCATGCTCAAAATGTTTCTCATGCGAAGACCCATGCGAAGCGTTTTCTAGTGGTGATTAGAGATTTGTGATGCTCGAAAAATCGCCATGATATGCTAGATCTGTGATGCTGCTGCACTAGCTAAAGACGAGCACAATGCTAGCCAAAATTTGTCGTGCGCAGCAACGTAAACTGGTTGATTTGTGTTGCAGATTTCCCATCTTGAGTATGGGGTGGGGACGTTTTTACATCACAGGATACTTTTTTCATTTCCTTCATGGGCAGAGGTTTTTGTTTTTTCATCCCCGTTTTCATCTTGATCACCATGGAAGGACTTCGGTTTTTGTCATGCTTATAACAGAAAGTTGTCGGAGTGGTACATAATCTTCAGGGCATATCACCTTCTGATTTTCCACCTCCCCGGACTGTTTTTCCAACTCGCTCTTCTTCAAATCCAGTTCCGCTTTCAACGCGTGAAACTCCGCCAGCGTCGGGGTTTTCTTGCTGGTGGCAGAAGAAGAATTTTTCGTGAGGGAGAGGTTCTTGGAAGAGGAGGAGTTGGTCGCTTCAAGAATTTTTCGTGAGGAGTTGGTCATTTTGAATACGTTTCGCACAAAAATGTTTACTTCTTCTTCTCTTCGATCCTCTTAAAAGAAAACGCAAAAGTGTTGACTGAATCATACATGATTACCGCTAAAATTTGTAATGATAGCGACTAACTTCATTTCTTTGGTACATCCGTCTCGGGAAGAATAGATTTAGGATTACGTCGTCCAAGATCGAATTACTTGTGCGACCTGTCACGACATCCCGGTGAAACTAAAAGTACTAGTACGATTAAACTTTTGCACTGGATAAACTGCTCCGTGAACGTGTTTTCCGCATTGTACTTGGCAAACGGAATCTGCAGCGGTTCTTTCGGAATCAGCTCGAACACCCGCTCGGAGGACCGGAGTTCGTGCTGGTCAAAATCCTCATCTTCCCAGGTCTCCTTGTCATTTAGCATGACAGATTTGTTCGCCGCACAATTGGTCGTCGTCGTAGTAGCTCCAATCGCCGTCCCCCCGAAACTCAACCGACGGCCAGCACTGTTCGCGCGGGGGGCGGGGATCTGTAGAGGGAAGGGATTTTAGAATTTCGATTTGTCATGCTGAGTTCCACATTCATAATCCCATCTGTAATGCAAAAAGCGACAAGAAATTATACGGTCGCCGTTTTCATCTTGATCACCACGTTCTTCGCCTTTTTGTATGCATTTCAAAAGTATCGCACTCGCATTGAATGTGAATTATCGGTATACAGCATGACAAAACTTCCTCTTCTGTCTGATTTTCCATTTTTACAAACTGCACGACCTTTTGATACGACCTTGCGAATCAAACTTCTCCTGTGGCTTCGATTTCTAGTAGTGCGAGCACGAGCTTTGTGCCATCTATATCTGCATGTTTGATGCCATCGGTTTATTCGCCGCCGCGATCTTCTTCTTGACGTTCAGCAGATGAACAAAAAAACTTCTTTTCGGATATTTCGCAACTTCTTCTTTGAAGAGCTTCGCCATCAGAGAGGGCTTCTTCTTCCCCGCAAGGGGCGCCTTCTTCATGGCGGCCTTCGGCATCTTGGGACAACTCTTTTGCGATCTATTGGAGCTGTTGCTGAGTCTGGAATTCACAAAAAACACGTTTGCGATGATCTAGAAACGTGCGTCCTCCGCTAAGTTACCTTATCAAAAATCAGGGTCGTTTACCATGAACTGAAGCATGACGAAGTGGCGTTTCGGTGTTGACGCCACTGCGAATCGACCACGAGTTTCTTCTTTCAGCCGATTGTAAAATGCCGAACGACGAAATAGGTACAACACCTACGATTCCGAAGATGAGAGTCACACTTAAGGCATCTAGCATTGCGATTCGTCGATTGTAACAGAGTAGTTCGTTGTACGAATACGCCGATCCGAATGGAGTGTTAGTGTAGTCTTTACCTTACGACTAGACGACGATTAATGAAATCGCGATCGCCATCGAAGATAGAAACGCGACAAGCACTTCTTCCTGTTGGGTGCAAAGTGGAACTACGTGGTCGTTCCAGTTCACCAACGCAAGCATCTAATCTGTCCCATGATGCGGGGTAAAAGTCAAACCGTTGCAGCTGACTTGCTTTGTATGTTGTCACTCTCTTGCCCATATTTCAGATATACAGTTTTTGTTTTCAAATTCTAATTCAATTGTCTCTTTATTAATTTCCGAATCTCAGGTATCATTTTGCAACCATTGCCATATTGTTTTCGTTTCTTCAAAGCCCGAAGAATAGACCAAGTCTGATGAATATCTAGTTTGGGATTAAGACCAGTAATTAGAAGCTCAACAGTTGTTTATCAACATTGTTCGGTGGCTAATTTCACGAAAAAACTGTAGTTGTAAAAAAGCTGTGGTTGTAAATTGTTTGTAATTGTGAACGAAAAAATTATATTACATCCTTTGTCATTGATGATTCTCGAGTAAACGTCTGCTCATCAAGCTGATACGCTGCAGCCTCTAGTTGTAAAATTGAGTTGTATCGTATCCACTGCAAAAAATCCTTCTAGGTCGGGAAAGAATCTGTGATGCGGAATTGTGAATGACAGGATGTGGAACGCTGGGGTTATGTGGCGTTGCAGCTAGGCACGACAGTTTGTAGTAGCATGCTCCTACACGTCCTGTTCTTGCCCTGTTCTTGTACCTCCATCATGATTTACCAACTGCGTTTCCACGCAACAAAAGAGGCCGAGTTTCTCTTTGTCATCTTTACTTCCTTTCCGGAAGCATGACTATGAGACACGCATTACAATTCCACTTACTCTTCCAACCCAGACAAGTTTGCAGTGGATATTGATTGTTGCGTTCGTTTTCCAAATTTGCAACTCTAGTACCTCCTCTTAGTTGTATAATTTCATATCGGACCAACTTTTCTTTTATCTGCGAATAAATGTTGTACATGAAGCACTGGCGACAAGTAGTAGTTGCTCCTAGCGCGAGGACCATAAATACTCCTGGTACTCTAGAACTAGAATAGCAACACCGCCATTGTTTCTTGTTACTTTTGTTCCAGATTTCGCTTTGTACGGCAGCGCCGCCCGTTGTTGAGTATTAGTCTCTTCATCGTAGTGCGTTGCAGCCTCCTCTCCTGCGGTTTATTTTATACTCAGACTACTTTTTGTTTTTTCCCCCTCCAATCCCGGCAGTTGTCAACTACTTTACTTTTTCTTCCCACCCTTCTTCGTATTGTTCTTCGTACTGGCCCTGCTAGTCTTGTTTCCGGTACCCTTGGCCTTCCGGGCGTTCATCATCTTACTGGAAGATTTCATCGCCTTCTTACCAGCCGCAGTGTGCCGTATCATACAGAAAAGACCGCTCATACCAGATATAAAAGAAGCAAGTTTGTGTTGCCAACTTCGCGTCGGCACAAACTCTGTGAACAAGTAGATGCAGAGACAAAAACTAGTTGGGACGAGACGCTTTCTTGTCACGATGGGCATGAGAAACGCAACGCGTAAGAAGTGAGGCCGAGAAGAAGGGTGAGGAAAACGCTTTTCTCTCTGAAGGGACACTAATCGTTTTGCTGCGCTTGTGCTGCTTATCTTTGTGTTTGTGAGGTAAATAAGTACTGCGCGACAAGAAATGGCTTTCATGTATATCGGATATACATGATTTATCTTATGGGCGGCCTTATTTTCTGTAGGATATTATTCTTCGTCATCATCTTCATCTTGGCCATTGACATCTTGTTCGCGGGGGCTTTGGAGTTGGAGTTGTTCGCCTTTTTCATGCTCTTGGCAGAGGAAGAGGATGAAGAACCGCCAGCGCTCGCCTTGAAGTTCGCCTCCGAGCCTAAGGGCAGAACTCCATTATAGTGCCACCCTGTTTTTTTAGTGATGGCGCGTTTCCTTTCACTTTCTACTGAAATATTTCGCATTTGTCATGCACATAATGCACAAAAACCAACATCAACGAAACCAATACTGGCAAGCCCATAGGCATGCGTAGAAAAGAAAAAACAGGATAAATAGGAAATACCGTAACAGCACATTCGTGCCATAACGACTTGCTTATCCTGTGCAAAAGTGCTCCGACCCCACGACTCATACTTTCTGTTTAGCACACCAATCTTGAATGAGAGAATCCTTTCTTTCTCCTGACAAGTGCCTTGCTTAGCGAAAAGCCTCATATATGATTTTCGCTCCAAAAAAAGTTGCGCTGCAAAAATTCGTCCCCGTGCAAGTGAACACTTTTGCACTGCTTACTGTGTGCCATGCACAGACTCGGTTTCCTTTGTGAAAGCTGGGAAGTCCACGTCTTTCGGCCGGACGAAATTTAAATTCGTATGCGGCCCGAAGGTGGTTGTCGCTCCCCATCCTTTCGGCCCGTTGTTCCCCGGCATGGTACACTCGACGAAAAACGAGCCGAAGTAGTCGATTATCGTTTGGAGGGACAATTCATCACCCCATGCCTAAATTTTCATTTTTTGATGCATTGTATCGGTGCGCGCTCCCGATATTTATTCATTCTCATTCTGATCTTTTCTGCATCAGAAACAACATGTCATTCTCTCATGCGAAAAACCAATAAGACAATTTGTAGAAAATACTTTGTCCTTTTTGATGTCATTCAGGTAGGCTGTCTCTATCCCACAGAAAAGAACAGCCACATCAGAAGAAAAAAAATATGTTGCGGCTTCGGGTTACGAGAAGGTTCTTTTTGGGTGCGACCAGTGGCTCCCTTATCTCTCGCAACTTTATCGTTCCTAATATGACGCATACGCATCACAAATTGGCGCGCTCTGCATGACATTGACAACACATTGCCAGTCTTACTTTGGTCCTGCGCATTACAGATGAGTTGGTAACGTTGCACGACGATGGCACTTGGCAACATGATTTTCTTTTCTTTCTGGTATGGGATTACTTTTCTGCCCTTGGATAGTCTTCGAGGACTTTTCCGCCCCCCCCTTATGAAACGCAAACGTGTCTGGGCCTGGAAGATTGCGCTACTTGTCATGCAGGTTTTCCATGACCCATCCCCATGAGGTCTGGAATGCAGGACCTGGCATGACAGATTCTGTGAGGTCTATAGAAGATTCTGTGAGGTCTCAGAGACCTTCTCTACCATGTCTGTCCTGCATGAGAAACTCACTCTCAACTTCTTGGTCGACCATGAACAGCTTCTGGCAAGAACGATGCAACACAGATTTTTGTAATGCAAAAGAAAAAGAAGTCATGATAAATAAATCTGATTCATAATGCATTAGATTTATCATGACAATCTCGACGTTCTTCCAGACCCAGTTTTATTTGCAATGCATATAATTGCCGCATTGACGATAGCGTCGCTGTCTCGTATGGAAGGGAGAAGTCGCATCGGCCCGACGTCGTGGTCACTGCTGATTGTGATTTCATAACCAACCACCAACAAACATGAAATGCAAAGATGTCTGGGTCGGGATTAGTGGGGGAGTTTGTCATGCACATTTTGCATGATCTATGGCGTCTGCGATGAATGCCCGAGCATCACAGGTTTTGCGAGGGATTCCTGATGCCTGTCCCGCATGAGAAACGCCCTTTCTGCGTAGCAAAAAGTGGACAGTCCTCGCTGTCCATACAACACAGTCTTTTTTCAGAATCCAAAGGCAGCATCACAAATTCCATCTTTCGTCCAGACCCAGACATATTTGCAATGCATGATAAACAAATATTGATGACAAAGCTGGTCTTCCTAGAGGTTCGCTCGCGTTAGGTACTTACCTCTTCTGACCGTAATTTTTCTCTTTGGTCATGGGGCTTGCTACGATCGCGCCCCCCGACATGTGGAAGTCTGTGCCGCTTATCCTGTGCAAAAGTATCGCACTCGTATTTACAAATCTTTTTCTTCGGGTAAATCCGCATTACAGATTTTATTTCTCATGCTGAGGAAATCATTTGTATCTATAATGCATTTATACGAGTACGATACTTTTGCATTTCATACCACTGGCTGGATGCCGATGCAAATGTTTCCCCTCATACAGTATTTCGGGTTGAGGCACAGCATTTTCCGCTTATCCACAAAAGAACGCGGGTCCGCTCAACAATTCCAACTGCTGGCAGCTGGCCGTCTATATCCATACAAAAAAAGACGCGGTGTAGTCGTGCAAATGTGTGATGCAAAACATTGAATGTGCCGGATGTTTTTCATCGTCAACCAGCACGTCCCGCCCTTGATTTCTTCGTGAGACGTGTCCTGATGAAAGAAAGGCTTTCGGATTCGGTCGTGCGAACCTTCAGCCTTGTGATAACTACGCTCATCCGAAATTATATAGAGTTGAACTTGTTCATCGACATCTACTGCACGATATTTTCTCTTAGATATCTTCATGTCTCATCACAACATGCTGGGATAGTTCCTATCCTGTCCAAACGTTGAGCGGGCCCGCGTTGTCGTCTGGATACCAGCACACCCACCGGAGTTTCGCAGCGAGGTCCTCGACATGGATTGCAAATATGTCTGGGTCTGGAAGAAGTGAAACTTGTCATGCGGATTCTGGAATAGGTAAAAAATTGTATTGCATGAGCACCAAAAGCTTCCCATTGTAAATGGCGGATGATACAATCAGGCTCTCACGAGTAGAGTTGTGATTGAAGCCAAGCATTACAAGTTTCGAGTAGAACGGTTTCGACCGCAGAGCGGGACCGGGAGCGCGCAAGGGCAGGCGCGTATGTCCCTACCAATGGTGTCTCGGCAACGTGACAAAACGCGCTGCGGTTTTGCCGGTCATGCAATATAGAAGATTCCACAGGCAGGATGAACATGCACTACCAGGCACACACTTCCGGACCCTGACACGTTTTCACTTGGTAATTAATCTCGGCGGCGGAGGCGGTTGGCCAGAGTTGTCTTGCCGTAGCTGTTATGCATTGCAAAGGCACTGCGCAGGCAGTAGCGTAAAACAAGACTGCGCCATCAAGTCGAGTTGTCAATGTTGTCCACGGAAAGTTTGCAGCTCATGCTTGTCATGGTCGTGCTACAAGATTGATCAGAGCTATTGGTGGTAGTATGCAGGGGCGGGCAGTCTTGTAACTACAAGGCACGACCGCGATTCCTTTGCATGGGATAGCTGTTGTAGTGTGTGTAGATGAGGAACTGCTGTCGAAGGAGAGTTTTAGTAGCGGTCTTGTTGCCCCTTGCTCCCCAATCGGTGGCTGCAACGCTGCGCGGACGGCAACAAAGTGCAGCACAGTGCGGCATCTATTTCTGCACGTTGAAGAAAAACGCGCCGCGTGTGAATCGAGAGCAACCGTCAATATCATTTGAGGCAACAGCACGACGTGAGTTTTTTTGCACAAAAATAAGAAATGAATTTAAACTATACCAAGAAATAAACAATTCCCCTTCCCTTCCGTCCCTCTCCAGTCTTCCTCTAGACCCTGCTTCAGCAGTTTTTCCGCCACCTGCGCTGCCGCGTTCTTTCCTCCGCACTTCTTTGATTTTTTAAAGTGTGCGGCACTGTACTGCAACACTTTCTCGGTCTTCAGCTTTCCCGCAGCATCTGCTATCAAATGCAAATGTGTTTGGGCTTCGATAACTTGTAATGCATGTGCAGCATGAGATGTCGTGCGTACGCATACGATACCCAAGGGCGCCGCAATCGAAGTCATGCGATACCCAAGGGCGCCTGAAGAAGCTCCGCCGGGCACATAAGATCCAAACTGCGAACTGCAATACTAGATTTGTCATGCTTGTCTGGTACGACTCTGACTTCTGTGATGCCTGGTCAAAAAATAGCGCCTCGTATCTGTCACGCAAGAACGCCACTTGTCATGCCGAATACGCAAGACAGAACCAATTACAGAAAATCTTGCGGATCATGCGAAGTCTGCCCGTGCATAATTGCAGTTGGATTCTTAATTCATTCATCACGAATCAGCATTAAAAGTTTTCGCACCCCAACATATTTGCAATGCATATGAGCAATGGACATGTTCGCGTAGGTTTTATCGACGGTGGTTCCTATGCATTGCAATACATAGCATCGCACTCCCACTCACAGTCAGAAGTGAATAAAATAGCATGAAAAAGTCCAAATTGAAAAACTCGATGTGCTGCGCACGATCAAAACCTCATATAAGGAACTTGTGGTCCCCCCTGCTTGTCGCAATTGATTTGATTTGGAGTGTGATGCTTTTTCACAGGAGGATAGTTTCATATAAATTGTAAAATTGTCTGGCTCTGCAAAGCGGTGATCGAGATCATGGCAATGCTAGTGTGTGAGTGACAATTTGACTTGCGTGTAACTGTAGCTCCACGTGAAGCATCACAACAACTTCTGAAGACACTAAATATGGAACATCTGTGCCTGTGCAAACCGTACTACTATTTACGCAAGACACGTCATGTCTTTCTATCTAGTATGCCAAGTTGTGACACCTTTCCAGAGCCAGCCAAGTTTGAAGTCGATATCTCGTTTTCGCTGCTGAGGAGAAATTTCACCCGTTTTTCGACTCCTTGCTTCTTGTTCTTCTCCGTGTCTGATTCCGCTTTTTTCGTGTAGATTTCGGATTGGGAGAGCAGAGGAGGTTTCGCACTGTTGTTGTTACTGTTGTTTGAAGCAGTTTCGTATCCTGGGTAAGAACGTCCTCCCCCCATGCAGAATCGAGACAGGCAGCCTCTTTAGCGTAGCTGCAGTTTTGGCGACCTCCTCAACACATCAAACTTGTTGGGCATGCAGATTTGCGAGACAAAGATTCATGGGGTGAAGACGTTGTTAGTCAGGATAGTTTCCGCAGAAAGTCTTCCTTGTTTTTCGTGGCTTTTTCCTCGATTTGCAAAAATCTTGTCGTTTTTATTTTCCCGCTCATGTAGTCCCGTCCGGCTTGGTCGAGTTCCTCCTGGTTGCGCAGAACGATATTGTGTGCAAAAGTATCGGAATCGTGCGGCACTCCTATGAGTTGCAGGGCTCATGCATCATGTTCATCATGACAGAACTGCTTTCCGTTTCCTAATTTGATATCTGGCCCGAACCAACATGACAACTTGTTCAGCGAGCGTTTCTTCTTTCGAATTCAAAAAGTTTCAGTTTATAAATGTCTAACTAGTTGTGCCTCCGATACTTTTGCAACGCATACAGATTCTGCATTTGAGCGTCCGAAGCCTCTTCACTGCTACTTCCTCCCAGCAGAACCCGTTTCTCCCCAGGTTTATTCGTGGTTGCCTCGTGTCTATGAAATACAAAAACACTCTCGGTTTGCAGCATGAAGACTAGCGTCACTATCTACAGGAGCCCGAAGTTGAGTAGAATATGCCTAACAATACCAAAACCACTGATCACGATTTTGCATCCATAATCACCACACACAGTAGCCGCATCAAGAACGAGACCGAGCAAGAGCAAATTGAAAATATACATTTTATTATACATTAGTTACTGTCGCAAACGAATAGGAGTGTTTTTTCTTGGTTCGTAGCTGCAGGATTTGCCATCCGCTCTGGCTGACGCTGACGCAGCACCGGGCATGATTTTGCCGTAGTTGATTAATTTAGAGTATAAAAAAAGTTGTTTGCGCGCGATCTTATCTAATCACATCCATATCTCGTTTAGAAGAGTTGGAGACGCGCTAAACCTGCCACACAGGACTACTTACTCCGCCGCGCTATCAATTGGATCTCTGTACTGCCTAATCGTAGTGGTTGTTGCCACGATTCTCTGGGACATCCACTGCAGGGCTGTTTTTGCTTACAAATCGCCTCGACCTGGCCGGTTTAGCCAGTGGCTACGGTTCTGCTTCTGATTTACATTCCCTCGCAGGCAGCAACCTGTGTCTCATCTCACTCTCCGCAAGGTCTCCTTCTTCACAAGCAAGCGGTGGCCCGACTCATTCTCACAGGGGGGGCGCCACTGGCACTGGGGTGCAAATAAAAAAAAAACCAAGCTTCACTCAGACACTCGCAGGCAAAAAGGCGCTGGCGCCTTCTATTTTTCCCGAAACACGTAAAGCAAATGGACGACAGGACGAGCGGCGTCGTTCGAGAGTGGCCGCCCCAGTCCCACTCCACGCTGGGAATAGGTGTAGGCATGAGCGTGTCGCGACATCGAGGCATTAGGCCGCGCGGGCGCTCCTAACTTTCCAGAAGGTGCGGAAGCTGAGCGCGTAAGCCCGGGCCCGGGCCGATCGCACGCAAAACGCTGAAACGGCCCGGCGAACCAGCTGCCAGAAGAACTAAGCGGAAGCCGAAAACATCGCGCGGGCCCCCTTGCGGAGTGCGGAGCACGCTCGCTGCCTGATTTCGCTCAAGAGGTGCCGCCGCCAGAAGAACTGCCCGGGAGCAACGGAAAACGCAGAAACAGACCGGCGGGGAGAGGGAATTTGGGGGACCGCGCGCCCGGAAGAGGAAAACATCGCGCGGGCCCCTTGCGGAGTGCGTAGCATGCTGATTTCGCTCAAGGGGTGCCGCCACCAGAAGAACTGCCCGGGAGCAACGGAAAACGCAGAAACAGACCAGCGGGGAGAGTACATTTGGGCCGCGCGGTCGACCGCGCGCCCGGAAGACGAAAACAGCGCGCGGGCCCCCTTGCGGAGTGCGTAGCGTGCTGATTTCGCTCAAGAGGTGCCGCCGCCAGAAGAACTGCCCGGGAGCAACGGAAAACGCAGAAACAGACCGGGGGGGAGAGTAAATCTGGGCGCCCCCCCTTCCGGGCGCGCGGTCGACCGCGCGCCCGGAAGACGAAAACATCGCGCGGGCCCCCTTGCGGAGTGCGGA